CAATGCAAAATCGTTCACAACTGATTTCAGAGAAAAGTTTTTGTTAAAAGTTTTTGTATGAGGCTACTTTCATATTCCATTTTATATTACCACATAAAACTTTCTTTACATTCTTTATATTTATAACCTCAAAATCTCTCTGAAAAGAAACAATTTCTTTGATTCAATGCTGTACACACTCCTCATCCACTAAGTATTCCTGCCACTCCTAACAAATTTGAGAAATATTTTAAACCCAAAAAACTTGAAAAAGGACACAACGGAAACAACCTTAATTAAAGCGCCGGAAAATAATGGGCATCATCAGGGAGAAAAGCGTTCTCCCAATGCCCGGTTTTGTTTCCTATAACAAATCACCATCAGGATTACTATTTCATGATTGCTAACTTGATAACTCCACTTCGCTAAATAGTTGTTTGCTATGAAGAATTTCTAAAGAGAAAAGAATTGAACTCGAACAATTGGTACCCCTACCAATCTGTTTCGATGTAATTTTTAATCCTTCTCTTCTATTTTCTTTCTTTTCTATTTTTTTCTTTTTGGCAATTGAAACGCATACAAAACATCCCGCGTAGTATCACGGAATTTCTAAGTACTTGCATTCTGAGTCAGTGTAAACCGAACGCTAGAAGTGGCTTCGAGAGAGTGCAGAAGCTTCTTATCAAGATATGATAGTTTGGAATGTATGGGCTTTCTCGGTTTCCTTAAATTTTCGGTAAATTTCCAACTTTAAGTCATGTAGTTATTTGGGAATCGTGACTGGCAGTCGACCTCAATTTTATGCGTCAACGCCCATGGCTCCGTACTCTGAGACCAGCGTTAAGCATCACCGAACTCTAGACACGAGATTTTTAAATCACTCTGGGATCACTTTGCCTTTCCTCATCGACATATGATAATTTGGATTGTGTAGGCTCTCTCAATTTGTTGAATTTTTGAGAAATTTCAAATTTCAGTCATTCAGTAGTTTGAGAGCTTTGATCAGTCACCAAAGTTTTCGAATATGTTTACGTCAAACAAAACCAAATTTACAGTTATGGACAAAATATGGTTTCATTCTAAGCTTAAGTCACAAAATCCTTGAGCCTCCTTTTCGTAAGATATTTGCCTCCCTTTTGTGCCGGCTTCATATTTTTTTCAAGTGAACTTTAAGGATCGTATGCTAGTAAGTTTGTTTTAACAATCTCGATTATTTTTTTAAAAAGACTCCTCCTCAGTAGTGGCCTATTTGCATATTATCGCAATCAAAGGAGTGCTGATTCGTCCGTGAATATGAAAATTTCGGCGAGAGAAGGAGGAATTTTGTGTATAAAATGTCGTCTGCGGTACATACTTGAGCATCCATTTCGAATCCTTGTCTACCCATTTCTAACTACGTCACCACACAGGGAGACGAGAAGTAGCACATAGTGTTGAGCAGAGGTCAAAACAAGGGTGAGGTGGGTCCAAAGGTACTGTGCATTAGAGGAAAGAGGACAAATCGATCATTTGAAGATCAGGCATTAATTGTCTGTTCGGTAGATTTGGATTTAAAGCGTCTTTTGAATAAATAAAGAAGGATATAAACTTACAAGTGCGATAGCAAGGTGTTTTTGCTAAATATGTCTGATGGTAATCCATTCGAACAAAAAAATCATTTAAAGGCGGTATTTAGTAGGTTACACCAATTAAGGAAGGTCAGGAAACACATAAAATGCTTGCAAACAGACTTTTAGCGTCAATAAAGCGATGCCTCCTTTTTAGTTGCGATAAGAAAACGAGCTATACTGTAGAACAGAATGACTTTGAGGGTTTTTATTCCAAGTATTAAAAACAACTGAACACTTTAAAATTCCTCCCAACTCCCCTCCGTATCTTCCAATAACCCCTGATTGTTATAATACATTAGGCTTTACCATACAAACTGACATGTTGTGTAGACCACTTCCTGAGCCGGGCGACGTTGATTTGTTGTAGGGTGGTATTGTTATATTGTGCTATATCAATTTTTTCGTATATACTGCGAGTACGTTTCGGTAGTAGGGTGAGGCTAAAACTAAGTGAGAAACATATTCCTACTTCGCAAATCATTGAAGGTTAAGCAAACCACCACACTTTGTCACGCTCAAGACTGGATATGATTCATTTTCAGACAAGTTTTGTGCCTCTTCGGTCCTGAATATGTTTTGGCATTTAACCGAGGGTTTTGTTCTCTTCTTCTGTTCTCCACGTTTAGGCTCGTTTACGTAAGAAACTTAAGTTTGTGAAAAAAATCGCCAATCTAAAGTAGTTCACAACGGGATTAGAGAAAGTTTTTGTCATAAAGTTTTCGTTTGAGGCTACTTTCATATTGTTTTAAATCACATCGTTCACTTTTCTTTGTATAAAACTTTCTATACATTTATTGGAAACATAATCAGCAGTAGCTAAATTCAATAGTTTTCAGAATTCGTAAAAGGTATTTAGTGACACACTGGAAAACTCTGAAGGAGTGCTCTGATTAGCCTCTCAAACTCCGAATTTCCTCAGTTTTTTACCATTAGGAGACTTGCTATTCTCCGATTCTATCAATAAAGTTGTCTTGACAAGTAAATACCATTCGGGATTTGAGCTCGAAAGTATTTCATCGTTGCAGGAATAAATTATTTAAAATAATTTTTGTGCACTATTTCGTCCACTGGAGAACCGAGTTATTAAAGAGAAAAAAAAGTCAAAAAGACGGTGTTAGATTCTTGGTGCCTTTCGCCGGCGAGGTGTGCTCGATGAAAAACTTCCCCTCGAAATTAAATGGTCGTAACATCTATATCAACGCAGCAGTAGCTCGATCTGTTGCTTGATTCTGATGGTAAAAGAGAACGATATTTACATCTCAAGACGGCTTTTATTGAGAGCTTCGAAAGATAATATTGTAACTAAGTCTTCATGTTCCTCTTAGCTACACGAAATATTCAGGAAGGATTGATTCGTTAAAAATATTACTCTTCCATGATCTTTCTCACACTTATTATCACATCGAGCAACGAGTAAAATATAGATTTCAGCTCTCTTCGTTTGACCTAACTCTGCGTTGAATTGTAGCAAGGTGCACATATATGCTGTGCAACGTCACGTTATTGCCTAGTTTTTCAGGAAATTGCTTTCATCATGCATCATGCTGCATTTCTCTGTTCTTATGGAAACTTATCACCGGAAAACTTGTGAATAGTGAAATTAACCAGTGTAGCTGTAAAAAAATAAAAAAAAACTATCGTAGCATTGCTTTCTTTACACTGTCTTTTCTTCGGTAATGCATGTAACAAACAACAAAATTTCTCTGAACCAAATCATCTTTAAAAGAATATTTTCTAATCCAATTGTTAATCAAGTTTTCTTTGGATGTAGAAAATACGCACTTGAGCTTCTTTCTTTTTTTTTTTCCTTTGGTAATTTTTTTTCTCTGAGAAAAAACTGGCAAGGATGATCAATTTGTTAAAAAAAGCTATCAATAATGTGAGAATGAAAACTGTGATGCAGAGTACAATTGACGTCTGCGCTCGCAGAGTGATATTCAGGTACAGGTGGCCCAAGCTCTTTATGAGAGAGAAGTATTTTACGGGAGTTTAGGCTCCGCTCTGCAACTCTCTAGCGAGAATTTTAAATGACCAGCATTTCTAAAGTCCTGCGAACCCGCGGTAGGAACTTCTGCGAAACTCGGAGACCATTACGACACGGTCGGCTTGGACGCGAGTCAAATTTCTCCCCAAAGAGCAGCCCAGAGTCGAACATACAAGACCAAGAATGACACTCAGTCATCCGTGAAAAAAAAAGATTAGTGGAAATCCCGCGCCTAAAAAAGTGTCTATAAGTCTTCGGCAGAACTTCTATGGATCGAACATATTACATTAAAATCGAAGACAACTATCTGGCTTTCGCGCTGCAGAGTATCAAAATTATCACTATCTACGGGTAGATAGCAAACACAACATAAAATCGTTGCATGATATAATATACTTAAAAAGCTTGTAAAAGGAAAAAAAATAATAGAAATTAAAAATTTAGAGCGAGCCCAGTTTTATTGCCAGATATCTAGCTTTTCTTTGACATCTGCAACTATTTTGATGCTTTCTGGAAGTTAGACTCCTGTTTTACCCCACTTTGGAAGGAATACATCAATAAATCAGCAATGGGAGCGTGCTGTTAATAGCAACATCGACCCGCTTAAGGGTTTAGAAATTCTTCATTTTTTGGAAAAAATTGACTATTTTTAAGATTTTACAATCTCTTAGTTTTTTACATCCCGGCCTCCAGTTCACTAAGCCGAAAGTATGTCTAACAGAAAGCTATGCAGCTGGTTGTTTACTCAACTACACATCAAGAAATTGTTCCGACCATGTTTAACATGAACGGGTTATAATGCTGATATAATATGATTTTATTCATCAGGACCCAGTTGTTTGAAGCCCCATTAGCGTTAACCTAAGGTTACATTTTAATCCGGGTTTCTTTATTCCTTCATTCAAAAGCCTTTTGAGATAATTTTCTGTATTGCTTTTAGAGCACCCAATCATCACATTCCTGACGAAAGAATTCGATTGAATTTGTTTTAAAGCTTTCAGATCTGAAATCAGTTTCAAACTAATCATGGGTTATCTTAACCCAGCTTTGAACAACCTCGCCCTGTAGATTAAGTAAAAGGGGTTAGTTAACAATCAAAGTTGGTTATTGCTCCTGGAAACTTTCTGTGGCCAATTTCTTCGTCGGTTATGACCCAAGTCCTAAATAAGATGTTGCTACATATATGTTAAATAGGCGCAGTTTGTAATGCGAATTTATGAAGCTATTAATTAATCAATGGAACGAGGTAACAAATCTTAGCTTACAGCTACCTCAGCTGAGAGTTGTTACTGTGTTGAATACGCATGGTTTTCAAAGCGGCTAATGACGAACACTGTTATTTATTATCAACATATCATTGCCAGTCCCTGTATGGATATCAATGCCCTTTTAAATTGAACTGCACACAATATAGATTTGTGTAATCGTAGCTTACAGCCAAGCCAGCTGAGTATTGTTGCTGAAAATGTCTTGTGACAAGTCGTTCAGCTGGTTGTTACTCAAGTCCCTGTCAGAAAAAAATTGATACATCTGTGTTAAATACATACGGTTTTCAATACTCACGACAGATACTTGTATTAAGAGATTATAAACCGCTTTTATTTCTTTCCAAAGTCTATGTTTCGCCTTCGCACGAATTTTTCGCTTCAAGGATGAAAAAATGGGAGTACGAATCAACTGTGGTCAAATAAACAACTTTCCAGCTAAATACGTGTATGGTTGCATAGATTATGATCTCTTGGCGATGAACGACATAGCGCAGAATGCAGTAACTTGAAAATGTCTCAAAGGCTTTGTTACATATTTCAATATTAATAATAACAAAAAAGCAATTTAAGAAAAGCGGCATTCAGTAGTAAACTCTTCCAGATGAACGCATCGAACAGTTTAACTCAAAGTCGTCTGTTGTACATGTTGTACACCAGAAATGGATTAATTGCATTATTGTTCCAGTTTTCTCGGCGAGATGCTATTTTTACCGTCAGATCTACTTTTTTCACAGTTATCTTTGACTTTTACTGCTATATTTAAGCGGTCATATAACAGCAGAGATAGTGCTGAATACAACTATGTCAGTTAAAATATATTGGTATAGATCTACGTTTTTTAAAGTTCTCATGATTTGCTTGATATTTCAGTTTCTGAGGGCTTCCTATGCATAAAGTACCAGGTATCGCGAGCATAAACAGGAAGCATACTCCGCCATTATTGTTCACAGTCTACAAAATATGTTCGTTTCATGATTCCACGTTGCCTTCACGAAGTCACGAAGTACTGCCTTATTGTTCTTGTTTTGTGACCTGCTGGCATGGACCGGCATCGTATGATATCAGCACCACAGTATCCTCTATCAGTACCACAGTTTAAATACTTTTTAGTGTAGCCACGAGGTTACAGCTTATAGTTTACGTGGTACAGATTTTCTTTTGACATGTCTTGAGAGACTCGGGAAATAGTAGTTCGGGTGAGGAATGACCCCCGTAGTAAACCTACGATCAAAAAATTCAATATTGAAGAATTTCCAGTCATTGACGTCGACGGCACCGCGCAAAGGCTAGTGTAAGACTGATTTAGAAGTCGCTCTTACTCAGGTAAGATGAAGAATGACATTCATTTGCTTCGTAATCTGCAGTTTAGTCTGCAACTTACATGGCACCTCAACAATTGATCTCCTGTTAATACTCACAACTTCGCTGTGGTAAAGGGAATTTTCCACGGAAACGACATCAATTCTTTTCCTGTACAGCTCACACGCAACAGATTGTATGTTCCCTTCAAAATGTGGCAATCACAAGGGCCTGGGCACTCTGAATATTAGACATTAAGTATTGTTCATATAATTAAATCGCTAAAATATGTGTAGTATGTCATCACTGAGTTTGCATTGCAAACAAGAAAACCAACTTGTTTTATCGTATCGAGAAAAAAAAAGAAGAAAGTAATGATCTTTAGAATGATAGTATACAAAGGAATGTTCATGAGATAAACTTCTAAAGTTAGGCTAAATTTAAATTTGCGGAATTTTTTCAACTTTGGAGTATCTACTTTGAACTGATTACTAACAAACTCTTATCATTGTCAGCAGTTAGGGAAGTCAGAATTTAAGCTAAAACAAAAAAAAATTCAGTGAGGAGAGTGTCTTTCTGAGAGGCCGAACAGCGCTAAATAATTAGAATAACTAAAGAAAAATAGTTCTCAGGTTCATACGTAAGATACGATTAACGTTTCTATTGCGCGAATTAAAAGTGGATATGATAAAATGCTGCTTACAAACAAACCGTAATTGAAAAAATTACAAATTGGTAATTAAGAAAAACTAATTAAAACAAATTGAGAACTAAAATTACCAAAACTAATCAAAACAAATTGACCCTTTAACTTCCATGTAGTGACCAAGAGAGAATTTCTCCCTACAATATCGATACAATTTCAAGTAGACAAGTTATGAGAATAAAGAGAACTATCAATTAAGGGGTTATTAGTTGATCCGGAAACAAATTCTCAGAACTAAGATCATAAGAAGAAAGAAAGCCTAATCCGAACGAAGAACTGTTTAAGATAATGATAATCTATCGCAGTCTGTTTAAGATATTGATAATTTATCGCAGTCTAGAAGAACGGGGGCAAATTACGGGAGCGACTACATCGAGGGCGGCGAGCCGTGGAGGGATACCAAGAAATTAAACAACATATTAAGATATTGACCAAATAGTACAGATTCAGGCATCCAATTAAAAAAGTGATATGGTTCCATTACACTTGTGTAAGGAATAAAACTCACCTTCAATGTTGAGGCTAATTTCGCTCCTTGATACGTTATTATCTCTTCGTACCTCACAGCTGTAATTCACATTCTCCTCTGCAGCTTCAAGCTGATGTCTTACGCTGGTTCTATTTTGAACAACAACGCCATTTTTTCTCCATACAATGTATGGAGCTGGCGCACCTTCCACCGGGCACCACAGGTCGGAGGTTCTGTTCAAAATTACAGTCTGTGTCTTGGGTACTTGGGTCATGGTAGGTGTCGCTACATAAAACAAAAAATAATGATAATGATAATAAAAAATGTATTAAGGCAAGTAAATGCTAGATGAATAGTCTGTATCATACAGGACAAGCAAACCACAGGCATAATATATAAAGCAAATACATTGTGTATGGACAATCATATTTTACTCCAAAGTCACGGAGAACTTCTTTCGGTGTCTCTCTTTGTCTGTCTCTCTCTTTCTCTATATGTGGCTGTTCGTCTGTCTCTTTGTATATCAGATAAAAAGCTACTTAATAAGGGAATAAATACTGTTAAATGTGCGGTAAAACGTAATAGTAAGGTAGGCCAACGATATATTTCCTGAATATAAATTGTTATATCATGAAGTTCCAATTGAATTTAAATATTTTAATTACATGCTTTAATAGAAAGTTAACAAGAGAGATCGTGCCTGTTTGATTGGAGGATCTTCCCGTGTAGTATGCATTAAGATTATATCTGCGATAAGGGAAAAATCTTAACCACAAGTATCGTCCACTGGATCGCACTACAGCAGCCTTGTGATCTCCACAGAATACACCAAGAACGTTGGCTAACTGATTATTGCCGTCACGGATCTCAAGATAGTAGTCCTGCAGACACGGTCGTGGAGCCCACGAGGAGCTGCGCATGGTAAAGTTCAGTTCCACGTAGTGTCCTTTTGGAGCTGAGAGAACATGTGACCTCCAAAACGAAGGAACTTTATCCCATCCTTTTGCTTGTTGAGGATGTTTCAACAAAACTACAACAAATGCAATAAATCAATTACTTGGCTTCCAAAAACAAAAATATAGATATCATACATCAAGAGAAAGAAAATATATGCAATTTTACGTAACAAAGGTTGCCACATTAGACCTCATCTGATCTCTGTCTTACAAGTATCACTAGTCCACTAATCAGATATCAGATCACTAAGCTAACAAACATCTATTGCACGACTAAAAATTTAAATTTTATCTAGAGCTCGAGTTCAACGGGCTTTAGCTAGCTATTATAATACTGTCTTCCATTCCAACCAAGAGCTTACAAATTCTTTGCATTTGCGGTTAGTTTTTGATTGAGAAAAGTGTTTCAGAGGATAAAGGAAAGTGGTTTATTTATGAATTAGAGGAATAGTTTATTGACGTCATCTTATTCTAGCACTTTACTTTGAAGTTTGATTGTACAAGGTAAATGCAGAGGCAATGTCTTTCACAAGTACAGTCTTAAGCTCAAAGTTGGACCATGTAAACGCTTTGGGCACTTCCTCTTACCACTGAACCAGCGTGCACCATATGTTGCATGCCTAGCAGTTTGATATTACACGCAGATATGAGAATATGTGGCTCTTCATGATTGTTATATTACGATTAAACACTGGCGCATATTGCAGTTCAACAAGACTTGACATAACAATTGCCAATAGACTCTCACCCCCACTTCACAGTTTTTCTCATTGCTCTATCCATCCATTTAACCTTGCACTCTCCTCCCTTCCTCTCCTCTTTTCCTCTCTTTGCTCGTCCTTTCCCGGGCCTCCCCAAGCATCTTACCCTTCCTCCCCTCCCACACTACTCATGGGCTCCCATTCCATCCCATTTGCCAACAACGGCAAATGTTTATCATTAAAGCAAACACTTTCGACAACAGTTGTGAACAGCTGAAGTGCTTACAGAAAAGGAGGATGAAACTGCACTTAGCCACTGAGGGTACCATCATGACGTGATTCAATTTTTTTTTCTGCAGAAGAAAAGGTAGAGTGTTTAATTTTGTCTCTTTCAATTTTTCATTAAATCTTTTCAAAGCAGCTCGATGTTTTATACACAAGCTTTTGGAGTAAAACTCTTTAGATAGTAATGAATTTGTCTCCATCGGCTATAGAACAAACGGAATCCTTCCGCGTAATTTAAAAAGAAAGGCATTGTTTAACCCTGTTGATAATTAAGATATTGGTTTGCTATTGTTTACCTATAGCGCTCTTTATCACTTGGATTATGCAGTTCAAAGGAAAAACTCCTTTTCGTATCAGAACATTCCCCTTTGTAATTTAGAATAATAAAAAGAAGATTGTGTTAGTTGCCTTATGACTCAAGCGAAGAAAATCACGTCAAAACTAATAAATACAGCCACTCAGCAACCAATGGACTCTTTGTCCTCTGTTCTGTCATACACAGCTAAAAGTTACGCACTCTAAAAATAACAATAACAATATATGTTGAGACCTTGTAAAAGTGACCCTGTCTTCTTGTCTGATAACTACCGTTCATACTTCGTAGGACATTTGAACATTGTGATAAAGATTTTGGTTTATTCTAAAATCATAAACAAGATATTCAACTTTACATCAAACTTCAAGGTAGGTTTAACTCACGAAAAAATTTCAGTTCGCTCATGCATCTTGCACATTGATAATTTTTTTCCAACATTTTAGTGTGTTATTTACAAGAGAAAAAATGTAAAACAGAGAAAAAATTATTCGGATTATTTAACAGCGTATTTTTATCATGTTTTGTCATGTTGCACTGTTTTAAGAATAGGATATGATGTAATTATTTAGAATGTTCTAGAATGTTCTAGACTGCTAAAACATATGTTTGCACTTGTTTTCTCTTTTATAAACTGACTGACATTTATTTCTCCAAAATTCTAAAAGTTGTCCGTGTTTAGAACTGACACTTCATCTTTAAATATTTACATTAAAAATACGAATTGCTAATTCTCTGGTCGATCAAACGAGTCATTAGGGATCGAGATTAAAAATAATCCTTTCCTTTTCTAATGCCTTTTGAGTGATGAATCATATGATGAACCTCGTTTTTCCCACTACCCTCTTCCCTGAGAAAGCGTCGGTATGGTTGAGAGAATTGAGAATTTATTGGTTAAAAGTAAACAATTATAAACTAGAAGAGTTAGTTATAAACTAAAAGTTATCGAAACTCTAGTAGTTACTACGTCTTCCTATAGAGCATGTGGACAAAGTATGTTTTCGTTTTTCTATCTTTTAGTTTTATTTCCTTTTAATTATTGATGCTGAGGAAAGAAATGCTACCTTCAACAAAAGAATAAATAAAAATGGAATATTAATCATTTTTAGATCCCACATCATCCACAAGCTGACTGTTTTTTGTCTCCGACTCAGTTTTCATTCGACTTTCAAATTTTTGGTTTTACAAATTGATCGCCAATTTTTCCTCTGTTTTGTTGTTATGTCTTAAATGTAAAACAACAATTCAAAGTGGACGCTCCTATGCAGATTTTTCCACTAAGTCTTAATGTGTTTCTCTAAGCATTTGGACATTTTAACAAGTTGATTATTTCTGATTCTCGTCTGTAATTTACACAACATTGTAGCGATATTTATAGAGAAAAATTCAATTTTGATCAATTTCACAGAAGTGCTACGTTTCCGTTGTTGTAAAACCACTAAGAAATTTGATTGCAGAGTTCATGCTTCGGTGATTTCACAGGACCTAAAGAAACTAGACGGATTGAATAACAGACTATACGTTCCAGAGATAAATAGTGAACAATAAATATTCCGTTAAAGTACAAAACAAACACGTATACTTCAACAGGGACGACTGTACGGGAAATGAAGTTATTTTGCGATACACAGAAAAAACTGCTCACCGTCTTTAAATTAACAACTTTGCCGCAGGAAGGATAAAATAATTGACTACTAAGAGTAAAGGAGAAAGCTACAAAGCTATTATATTAAGTACCTGAATATTGATTGTCCCTTTACTCTTTCAGAGCCTGATTGCATTTATCCACATAAGCAGCAAAGAATAAATACACAGAAAAGTAAAGGTTTTTACAGCTGCTGTTAACTGTTGTTTTAAAGAAATTCAGAGTTAAGACAATAATTTTTAATCGCGTGATGCGTTTAAGTCACGCGTACAACAAAAATGGATAAGAAAATTATTTTAGGTTTAAAGCTAAGAAAGGGCTGACTACTACTTTTATTGGAAGCTTACTGGACAATTGATAGAATGATGCAGCAAAATGAAGACTTTTTAACCCAAATTTAATCCTTGATCACATTGAAAGACAGCTATCATTCGGCAACCGACGTTTTCATTAATTCGCACCAGTATTCAACTTATAAATACAGATGATGCCATCACTTACGCACACATTTTCAGAACAGAAATTTCTGTTAGGTTGTGTACGTAAAAGATGATTTGTGTGTTAATTTCAAGCCAGATCTCAAAAAATATATGATGTTGTACTATGATTGAAAATATTTTTCCTACATCAGTTACTCTCTTCTAGGAAACAAAAAGTTGAAACAAAGGTGGATATAGTTTGATTAATTATCATTTCCATTTTCATTATCATTTACTTCTCTTATGTTATTCTCTGCAGTTTATAGAGTATTAAGGCATAAAAAGAATTGCCCCGTTAGTTATTTTAAAAAATACTCCGATATGGAGTAGACATGAATATTAATTTCGAGGACGACCTGGGAACAGATTCGGAAGAAGAAGAAGAAATAAGCGATGTAGGCACAGTTAACCCATGCTGGCAGGATGCGCCTCAGCAATTATGTAGATATCTTTACGCACAAGCGTCCCAAGCTCACGTTAGGAGAAAAAAAGCAAGCAAGCAAGCGATTGATTCATAAAAGCGTCACGCGGTGTGTGACTCGGTGTTAATATACGAGAGGGAACGTTGAGAATGAATCCACGTTGTAAGGAATAATATGGGGAACGAAATATGCTCGATTAACAACCATACGTATATTTCGAAATATTATTTTACGCGTAAAATCAGTGAATTTACTCAAACCTTGTGTGTCCGTTGTGGTTTCTGGCGTTCTCTGCCGTTTTAAGCTCGCTTTTCCCACTGTTAATTCCGCTAGAAGTGGAAGTCAACTTTACTTAGTTAGTTAATGAAAAAATCGTTTGCTTTCTTTCGAGACGTGAGCTTGGGATGCCTGTTTTACGTTTAGCAATGGAAGCAAAATGAGGATTTGAGTGAGAAAATAATTTTAATTTAGTTCTTAAATTAAAAATCTGAACAATTTTTGAATGAAGAAAAAAAAACTTTTTCTCGCTCTCATAGTGTTGGACTTTTAGGCCATTTACTGGGCTGTTTAGTTCGCTTCCGTTTATCTTCTCTAATTTCTATATAATCCTTTCCCGGTGTAATTGCGCTCCGAATGCTGCAATTACAACGAAATTCCACATATGTGACAGTCAATGATAAAACTCCACGATTTCGTAAATGTGTTAATTAACAAAATGAGGATGGTAAGAAAAATGCTACGCATTTTTCAAACAAAACGCGAATCAGTGACTTAATTCCTATTGACTACCAGAAGAAATGTAGCGAATTTCTTTGTAACAAAGTACAAACATTTAGCCTTAGATGTAATATTGTGCTCCATGATAAGGGTCTGGAGTTAACTGATTTTTTTGTTTTATCTTCCTATTAGAATGAATAGATGGCCGATCGTTTCTCGTTCTCGTTGATGTGTGATTTCTTGACGGAAAATCCTGTTTCTTTTTTTCGTATTTTTTAACATTTGTGTCATAAGATTACGAGTATTGAACTTGTGACGTTTATTTTTCTTGAATTGACAGTCGTTTTATTTTAATCTTCATGTAGTTTGCATGTTGTTTTTTCAGATAGTAACAAATGCAGAGAAGCTCCTGCTGTTAAAAGGAACGAATGCCACCCAAATTTCATTTGCATAAATAATCAGGGCTCCTACAACTGCTCTTGAAATCCTTAATAGGTTAGGGACGAGTTTAACTTTGAAAGCACATGTTTAGTATCTGCCATGTATTTTCGCATTTTTTAAGTAGGTATTACATAGACTTGTTATTCGTTGCTGCTAGATAGCCATTGTCGGCCATATTGCTTTCTTTTATCTGTAAAATATCCTAGTTGTACATTTAGTTTTTCTAGAGTTCTTCTTTTCATGCGCTATTTCTGAGAAAGAGAAAACTAAATTCAGAACCTGCTGTCCACAAAACTAATTAAGTTTGGTTTCCAACATCACTATGTCAGTTTCTACGTACAAGTACAAGTTAAATCAAGTAGCCACACAAGTACCAGTTAACCTTTTTTGGATATCAATTATTGTTCTTTTAAGTATTAGTTCTAAAGCCAAGTTACTTTTTCTACTTTCTATGCAAATACTGGGGTCTTTGCCTTAACATAGTTGTTTTTCTTTTTCCCAGTAAGAAATTAAAAATAAAATTGGTTTAGGTTTAAAGAAAGGGCTGATTACTACTACTATTGGAAACTAACTAGACAACTGATAAAATGCTGCAGCAAAATGAAGACTTTCTAACCCAAACTTGATCCCTGATCATATAGAAAGATAACTATTGTTCAGCAACTCACATTTTCACTAGTTCGCACCAATATTCAACTTATAAATGCAGGTGATGTCATCATTGACGCACCAATTTTCAGATCAGAAATTTCTGTTTCGCCGTGTACATGAAAGACGACTTTATTGTGCTAATTCTTTCAAACCAGATCTCAAAAATATATGATGTTGTCCTATAGTTGAAAATATTTTTCCTACATCAGAATCTAAAAGTTGAAACAAAGGTGGATATAGTTTGAATAATTATCATTACCATTTTCATTGTCATTTACCACTCTTATATTATTATCTGTAGCGTACCGAGTATTAATGCATAAAAAAATTGCCCCGTTAGGTGCAAAACGTAACCCATGTTTGTGACATGTGGCGTGACGTATTACGTCGTTACTGATTTCCGTATGTAAGAGTAAGCGAGAGCACGTGCTCACCATTAAAAAATATGTAGCTTGTTGTTGTGAACTCTGCGTACTTTTACTCTGCATTTTCGAGAGGACGTCTTGATACATGGTGGCAGAGGTGGTGATTTTTATTCTGTTTACTGTTTCAACGATGAGCGACGAGGAATCTTCCTCTAGAACCCCACGACCGTTTCCATCGCCTGTCGTTACCTCAAGTGAAACCGCCACCTCCACTCAATCTTGCTGACTGCTCGGCGAAAAGGTGGAAGTTGTGGAAGTAAACTTGGCTTAACTTTGCTATCGTTTCGAAAATTTCAACGCAAGGAGAGGCATACCTTAAGTAGAAAAGGCTCTTTTCTTTGCACCATCGGGCAGAGCGCCTTGGAAATTTTGACGCATTTCAGTTCACCGCGAGCGAAGATTCAAACAAGGTCGACACGATAATCGCCAAGTTTCACGAATACTTCACCGGTGACGTAAACGAGACGTACGAGCGCTTGAAATTCAACCAACGCAATCAAGAAGCTGGTAAAACTTCGATGCTTACCTGACCGCCCTCAGAAACATGACCGACACATGTAATTTCTGCACATGCCCACCGATGAAAGACTCTCTGATACGAGACCGCATAGTCCTTGGGATTAGAAATGAGGATGCTCGCAAACGTCTACTTCAGGAAAGAAAGCTCGACCTGAAGAAATGTATCGATATTTGTCGAACCTCGGAGAGCACCACAACTCATATGCAAGTGATAGGTGGAAAACTCGAGGAAGTTAATTGCATTAACGAGGCAAAGGGCCCACCAAAGACGAGCGGGAGACAGAGTGACCGTCCCGAACATTTACCTGACAGGAGTAGCTCCTAATCACGAAAGCTCAAATGCAAATTCTGCATAAAAATTCATCTTATGAAGAAGGAACTGTGTCCTGCATGGGGTAAAAGGTGTAGTGTCTGTGGTAAAATGAATCACTGGAAGGGCTCGGAGATTTGCGAGCGAAAAGACAAAGTTCACTCGGTAAGTCAAGACTCTGACCCTTCTGACCCTGACTCGGACGTGGCTTCAGTTAAGACTCTTAGTGTCATTGCTAATGGTGTTCGATCCAAACAAGACAATCCCATTTAAAGTGAAATGCTCGTTAACTCCAAGTCAGTCAGTCTGCAAAGTGGACTGTGGAGCTACTGTCTGTATCATCCCTAAAAGCCACACAGGTGACAGCCCTACTAAGCCTTCCAATATTTCCCTGGAAATGTGGAACAAAGTGAAGATGTCTGAAAGCGCTTGGAACCTGCAAGCTGATCGTTGAAAACCAAAAAACACTGATGAAGTACATGGTTTGTCGTTGTTGACGAACAGCTCACCTCCCTGATTAGCTGCAAGGCTGCCGAAAAGATGAACCTCATCATAGTCAACTATGACCAGTTTGAGCATGTCGATGGAGTAGTAGATAGCACTGATATCTTAGATGAATTTCCTGATATTTTCAACGGGGCATTGGAACCCCTGCCTGGCTCTGTGCGACTCACACTGAACTCTGATGCGGAACTGATACTTCGCCCGCCAAAACGACTGCCTATTGAGTTAAAAGAACCAGTGAAACTAGAACTCGACCGGCTAGTCACTGCAGGAGTTCTCACTCCAATGGATGAGCCCACTGACTGGGTAGATCAGATGTCAATTGCCACCAAGAAGAACGGAAGCCTACGCATCTGCATAGACCCACGTTCTTTGAACCTTGCGCCAAAGTGGGAAACACTATCAACTACCAGTCCTTGATGACATTCTTCCTGACCTTGCTAAGGCCAAAATCTTTAGCAAAATTGACCTTATTCATGGATATTGGCACTGTACTTTTGAAGAAGACTCTAGCATGCTTACCACATTTTCAACCCCTTTTGGGAGGTATAGGTGGACAGGCCTATCCTTTGGACTTTCCGTAAGCTCGGAAATATTCCAGAAACGTCTGGTCCAAGCTCTGGAAGGAATTGTGGGTGTTGCCTGCATAGCAGATGACATCTTGATTTATGGTATTGGTGACACTCTTGATGACGCCAGGTAAGATCATGACAAGAATCTCTCGTTGCTATGGGAACGTTGCCGGCAGACGTCCGTCAAGCTCAACAGGGAGTATGCTAGTAGAGCTTTAACGGATCCAGAGACCCGCTGTGCAACCATCTAAAAAGAAATGTTGGTAATTGTCTTTGCACTTGAGAAATGGCATCAGTATATCTATGGGCGTCATGTTGTCATCAAAATAGACCACAAGCCTCTAGAGTCTATCGCCAAGAAACCACTTGATAGGACACCAAAACGCCTACAAGGTATGCTCCTCAGAAGCCTGGCCTTCGACATAGACGTCCAGTACACCCCTGACCATACCCAACTTCTGGCAGACATGATGAACAGATCATTTCTCCCAGCTGATGGTCAATCAACCCCCAGTGAATCTGAGTCTGTCAATAAGGTCCAATTCCTACCCATGCGATAAGAGAGGGTACAGAAAGTCCAACTCGAGACTGCAAAGGATGAAACCCTGCGACTGCTTATGGACACCATACTGAAGGGATGGGCCGAGGATCGGTCAAATATCTCACCTCAGCTGACTCCCTACTACAGCATGAGAGATGAACTTAGTATTTATGATGGGCTGGTGTTCAAAGGGGAGCGCCTTGTTGTGCCTCAAGGGCTGAGAGCTGAGATAAAGAAAGACATACATGCGTCGCATGCTGGTGTAGAAGGCTGTTTGAAGAGAGCGAGAGAGAGTGTGTACTGGCCTGGTATGAACTCTGAACTCAAGCACTGGATCTCGACTTGTGAGCCCTGCAGATTATTTGAAGTTTCTCATGGGAAAGAGACCTTCATGAGTCATGACATACCAGAGGCCTTGGGAAAAAGTTGCTGTGGACCTCTTCACCCTAAACCAGAAATATAACTTGGTAACGGTCAATTACTATAGTGGTTATTGGGAGCTGGACCGGCTACACAACACAGATTCTGGAACTGTGGTCAGAAAACTCAAGGCCCACTTGTTAGTGACAATGGCCCCCAATTTGTAGCTGCAGAGTTCCAAAAGCTTACAAAAGAATGGGACATTGAGCACAGGGTCGCCTCTCCTTACAATAGTAAGGCTAACGGCAAAGTAGAGGCTGCTGTGAAGTCTGCTAAAAAACTCCTCCGTAGAACTGCTAAAGGTGGCAATGACTTCTACTTAGGACTACTGGCTGAGCGCAATATCCCATCTCAAGGAATCGGAAGTAGTCCAGTTCAGAGGATTATGAATAGGAGGACAAGGACATTACTTCCCACAACTGGTTCTCTCCTGGAACCAAGAACCCTGAGCTCTAGTCACGAGAGAGAGAAGCTGAAAGATGTTCAAAAAAGGCAGGCTCGATACTACAATTCTGATGCCCATGACTTACCTAAATTGAATGAGGGAGACAATTTGAGGCTGAAACCGTTTGTACTGGGGCAAAAGGAATGGAAGAGGGGAGTGGTTGTTGAACGACTTGACGAAAGGTCATATGAAATTGAGACAGCAGATGGATCTTCCTATAAGCGCAACAGAGCCCATCTGAAGAAGACTAATTAGTCACGCCCTGAAGCAACTAGTGGTGAATCACAGCAAATACCAAACAGCAACATGTTAGGCCATAGAAGAAGGACCAGCAAATTGCCTCCTGAGGATACCCTTACTGAGCCACCACAAATGTCAAGCTGCCCTGACGAGCCAGATGAGCCCTCACTTCGCAAAGAATCAGGCACTAAAAGCCTACCATGTAGTGAACCCTACAAAGAGTTGAACTCAGGGATTAGAACCCAGTTAGGAAGACTGGTCACTAGACCTTCATACCTTAAGGACTTTGTAGCGTGACCAACCTACAAGCAACTTGTGGACATTGCCTGTTAGGCTTAACACCGAACCTTCTATTTGTTGTTCAAAATTGAACATTTATTACCAGTTGAGACACTTTCGCACATCGTGTCCATGTTCCAGTTTATTATTGTTTAAGGTTTCTCATGCATGTTCCAGTTTTTTCGTTTTTTTTTTTTGTTTGTCTACCCATTTTATATTGGGGAGGATGTGACATGTGGCGTGACGTATTATGTCAGTTACTGATTTCCCGTATGTAAGAGGAAGCGAGAGCACGTGCTCACCATTAAAAAATATGTAGCATGTTGTTGTGAACTCTGCGCACTTTTACTCTGTATTTTCGAGAGGACGTCTTGATACAATGTTATTCTGTAGAAATTTATACTGAAAAAGTTGAGGTCTTAACTCTTCGCTAGCTAGAACAATTTATAAAAAAGAGGCAAACAAATTTCTACTATCAAACCTTTACATTAATTTTCGCGCATTAATTTATCCCTTGCCGACGTGACATGCCTGTCACACGGGGAAAATAAGCTTCACCAGCTAACCGAAAAAACATAAGGACCATCTGAGTGGACAACATCACAAAATCTATGACATTAGAAGGTAGCAATGGAATGTCTCCCACTCGTGCACGTGTTTACCGACAACCACCGCTACAGAGCCTGACTGAGGGTAATGTTATACGGGCATGACATTTTGGTTTTGTAGTATTTTGCGCTCTTACGTGCTTTCAAGTAGGTTTCCAAAATTTTCGATTTGTTTCTCCATCGCCACCTCTAATTTATTCATTTTGCTATATAACAAATTACCAGACGACTGTGCCTACTGTAAAGCGTTCTTTTACTAATGAAAAAACTTTCTGTAATAGGATAGTTAATAGATGTAACTCATTGGACAGTTTCCTTCAAATTATCAACCTCATAATGGTGTTTCTTAATTCTCAGAATGTTAAGCTCAAGCGTATGAAATGCATGATCCTATTCTTTGGGGGAATGTATTAAAAGGTTTGTACTCTTTACTTATATGAAGTCTCTAGTTTTCTATATTCAATATCAATTTACTTTGATTAATTGCACTAAAAGTTGTCCTAGAAAAAAGCAAAATCCGAAAAGGAAAAAAGCCAGGAAGGAATTTGTTAGCACATAAAATGTTCCTTTGGCTTTGTGCCCGTTTCACCAAAAGGCACGCACAAGATGATGATTACGGATTTGAGTAATTCCAAAAGTGTTAAGTCAAAATCTCTATGCATATGTTGTAAACTGCATCCATTGGGACTGCTGTTACCAGTCTCAATTCACAAGAAACAACCGATTACTTCCTCTAAATTCATATTGTTGAGTCTTGCTTGTTTCGGTGATGATCACTAATTATTTCCATCGAATTAACGAGGGATCAAAGTGTTTTGAGTTTGTTTAAGTAAGCACGGACAACGATAGAAGCTGTGCAGTTTAATTGCAGTCTTCAATCTCACACTTTGACTTTGCCACTGTAATTCAAAATTTTGCACCAACGGAAATCAGTTTGGGCGTGGCTCGTGCTCTTTTGCGATCACGAACAGATACATTTTGATAAAACAAATAATGAGGTTCACGTGATCTAACAGTGATGTTACAAGCCGTCAGTCTCGCAACCTTTTTAACCTTTAAAATCGACTTCAACAAAAATACAAAGACGGAGACATTTTTGTGTGGCTTACACAATGTGTGCAGCCACATTATGGCACGATCCGATCGATCCAACAAGAACAATATGTGCTGACTACAGTCAAGGAAATGAAGCTCTTTTTGGTGAAAATACTGGTAAACAATGTGCAGCAATGTCACTTACTGCTATTATTTATAATCACATTGAAGATATCAATTTGTGGACTTCCACTCTGAATAATATTCTTACCATTGGAAATGATTTTTATACTTCTATAAGATGTTCTGTCCAGACAAATGATTATTTGCTTTTAACTGATGTTCCATGCATTGTTTCAATTTACAATAAAGTATACACATTAGAATATAGTGAGTCATTGACAGGAAGTTTGTTCAAGGCATCAAATAATGGGCCATACATGTCTCTTCAAAATTCTCTGACAAGTATTTTCAAATTGTCAACTTAACTACAATTGTTGCTTTTTAACGATTGGAATTAATACTGTTGCAGTGATTAACAATTCAGAACAAAGCTTTAAAATTTTTGATGCTCATTCCAGGGATTTGTATGGGATGCCCCACTCATTTGGGAAATGTACTTTGCTTACCATTAAAGGAATTGAAAACCTTGTGTCATATTTGAAAATTTCCTGCTTACAAATAGGGGTTGTTCCTTTTGAAATTAAAGGTGTCTTTGTCAGAGATAATGAACTTGATTTGCAAAATGTTCACGAGAGTCCAAAAATTGAACATTTGCCTTTCAGAAATAAAAGAAACCAAACACAACATATGAAAAGGAAGCAAAAGTCTCTAACTGAAATGCCAGAAGAAAAAGAAAAATGATTGTTTGCTAGACACGCCACACACGCCGGCTTTCCTACAGTCGGCTTGTCTTCTAAGTGGATTACAGCGTGGAGTTGTGCTCTCACAGGCCAACATTTCACGGTCTGGACCTTCAGTGCAGGTTGTGCCACATTGAAACTTGGGAGTCATTATTGACTCTCTACGCAGTCACATTTCACGTAAGTCATTTACTGGAATGTTTTTTATCCTGAATTTCTGTTTATGCTACATGCTCAGTGAGAAAATTATTCAACCAGTCTTTTTAGTAAATGCTAAGATAAAATTTTGGTTAAACTGCAGAATACCCTGCCACCCCATGGCATTACATGTCATTGAATACAAATAGAATAAACAATTTTTAGCCAGTGAGTGAAAATAGGACTTTTTTGTTGCCATTAGAAAATCAGACCCTGCTGTTGTCTGGCAATTCGATTTGACGGCCCCTTTAAATGAAATTATACTTTTATGTTTACATAGCTAAACCAATAAAAGTCACAAACGTCTAACCTGAAACTGCAGTTTGTCATTAACATGGTGCTAAATGTCTATTGTGATTGATTCCAAACTTTGGGGAGTAATCTATTGGAATTCAGTAACAAAGTGGTTTCGCTTTTATTAAAATATGAATAGGAGCCTAGTGCTTTAATGTTAACTGAAATGTTATTAGTGTTATGTTTTCCAAGTTATGGCCAGAATTATTCAGACCTTAACATTTCATGACTTCCTTCAAGCTTGGCAGTCTTCTAGATTCTCTTCATAATGGTTCAGATAAGCATTGGTATCTATACTTGGTAGCAATACATGTCTATTAGGCCTTTATTTGGTAGACTACACCTCCTTTTCAGTTTTTTGTTTGGTTTGGTGATTTCATCACAATACTGATGTACATGAAAAATTACACTTTTTTGATAAGCTGAAAATAGCTAGGTGCCTTTTTCATTTATCAACAGTGAAAAAGTAACAACTCATGTACAAAATAATATAAACTAGGCTCAGCAATAATAGATCACATGAGAAACCAATCAGATTTACCCAAAGTAGGTTGTTCTGATTGATACATCCTGTAGCTGACAAAAATCAACAAAAGCTTGGATACTTTTATGTATATTGATAAACACTAACAAAATTGCGTTCCTGAGCAAGAATTTAGCTGAAGGACAAATTTTGATGGCGCACACTTCATTTAGTCAATACTGTCAAATTTATCTGCCATCAGTTTGTTGATTTCCTGTGAATGTGTATCTTTCACATATACATTATGAATAATCAATAACATGATTTCTCATATAAGCACTTTTAAATTTTTCAAATACTTTAAACTGCACACATGCTATGAGCTCAACATTTGTTGTTTGTGAAAAATTTACTTCTGCTTATTTCGAATACCAAAGCACACCTTAATTAACTTACATGTAGCTTAGACTTTGTTGAGTTTTTATGAAGTCAGTTCGATGGAACTGACATTTGTTACGTTTATAGTTAAAAGTTAGCCATCAGGTATCCTCGGAGACCCAGGGTTCTTATCACATCTGTAGACCCCTTAAAAGCAGTCTTAACAGATCAGTTCCAAACTGTCACAGTCATTCTGAATTTTGATTGGTACCAGAAATTCAATCTTGTTTTAGCAAATGAGAGTGAAGCAGGTCTCACACGTCCTCTTGTGTGCTCTAACACAAAGTGATACATGAAGTTCAGTTGCTTACCATGTTTGTTTTGGACCTTTTAGTACGGTAGATTAGCACTTTGCATGATGATGTGAAGTTGACCATTTGCATGATGATGTCAAGTTCACCTATACATTTTCCCCCATAACTTGAATTTGGTAGACTCACTGGCATGAAATTACAATTTCAATAATAAGAAAACTTGAAAGCTTCTGGTAGTTTAAATCATATGATATTATCATGCACTTGCCTGTACATTGCTCTGCTGTGTTTAAGATACGTCTCTGATTACTTTTCCTGAAATCTATCATGGTGACACTATCTCTATTGAACTTTCTGTTAAATAAAACCTCCAGGTATTGGGTTAAAAATTATTAGCGACGATAATGTTACTTCAGAGTACTTAACTCAACATATGATACATTAAAATATTGCTTGTGTTCTGATCTTGTAATGCACCTATCTTTTTTCCCTAGACTCTTCCATTTGCAACCTCATATCTACCTACCTCAACTAAATTTTTCTGTATTCTTTATTGAAAATACAGTCCCACAGAACCTAAATACAATAATCATAGTAAACGTTTTGCTCTCAACCAACTGAAAGTTGAACTTTATACCCTAATGGACAAAAGAAACCTACACTCAGCATTGTGTTACTTTACATATATATATATTGTCCAAAATTAGTCACACATTCAAACCAAACAAGCTCCCAATAGCTTCTAGTTTAGATTACATCATTTCCCGAATTTCCCTGCCCTTCTACAAAGTTTTGTCTTTGTCTACTGGTACACAAAATGTCAAAAATATTCATATGAAATTCTTCCCTAGAGTTTATTTCACATCACTTGCCTTGGAAAAGACACCCAACCAACAAACTTCAGAAGTCAATTCCACTTCGTTACGTAAACATAATCGTGACTGAATCTCTCAGATCACTATGGAAGATTATGCTGATGTTTTTTACATGTGCAACATTTGTTGTCAAAATGAGACCTCCAAACCAAAGTTTGGCCAATAACTCATCTTCAGAAAGAACATTTCGGGACTTTTGTATGCTAGTTATCTTGTGTTATTAATGAACAGGATTAATATTGAAAACTCTCTAATGGTAATCAGATATTAGCTCTTCTAATAGAAACCCAATGAGACAAAAAGCAGCTAAATTTCGTGAGCCACACATGTACGCATTGCGGACCTATTTTTAATACCTAGCCAGAGGACGAGCATTCTTATCATCGCTCGTTGAAAAAGGAACAAGGGATTTGATGAATCGCGTTTTTTCCCACTACCCTCTTTCCTGAGAAAGCTCCGGTATGGTTTAGAGAATTAAGAGTTTATTGTTTGGAAGTAAACAGTTATAGACTAGGGAAGTTATTTATAGACTAAAAGTTATTGAAACTGTAGTAGTTATTACGTCTTCCTAAAGAGCATGTGGACAAAGAATGTTTTTCTTTTTTTCTATTTTTTCATTGATGCTGAGGAAAGAAAGGCTCATGTCGACAAGAAAAAAAAATGGAATATTAGTAATTTTTAGAACCCGCATCATCCACAAGCTGACTGCTTCTTGTCTCCAACTCAGTTTTCATTTGACTTTCAAATTTTTGGTTTTACGAACTAATCGCCAATTTTTCCTCTTTTTGGTTGTTGTTATATATTAAATGTAAAACAACAATTCAAAGTGGACGCTCCCATGCAGATTTTTCCATCTGAAATCCGAAGATCTTACCACTAAGCGTTTGGACATTTTAACAAGTTGATTGTTTTTTATTCTCGTCAGCAGTTTACACGACATTGTAGTAATGTTTATAGAGAGAAAATTAATTTTGATCAGTTTTACCGAAGTGCCATGTTTTCTTTGATTTGACAGCACTAAGAAAGTTCATTGTACAGTTCATTTTTCGGTGATATCACACAACCTAAAGAAACTAGATGGATCGAATAACAGACTATACGTTCCAGAGATAAATAGTGAAGAATAAATATTCCATTAGAGCGCAAAGCAAACACGTATTCATCAACAGAATCGACATATGTACCGCAAATGAAGTTATTTTGCGATACACCGAAAAAATTGCTCACCGTCTTTAAATTAACAATTTTGCTGCAAGAAGGATAAAATAATTGACTACTAAGGGTTAAGGCTATTACATTAAGTACCTGAATATTGATTGTCCCTTTACACTTTCAGAGCCTGATCGCATTTATCCACATAAGCAGCAGAGAATAAATACACAGAAAAGTAAAGGTTTTTACAGCTGCTGTTAAGCGTTGTTGTAAATAAATTCAGAGCTAAGACAATAATTTTAATCGCGTGATGCGTTTAAGTCACGCGTACAACAATTAGCTGAAAAACGTAACCTGTGTTGTTCTTTAGGAAATTAATACTGAAAAAGTCGTTGTCTTTATTCTTGGCCAGCTAAACCAATTAAAAAAAAAAAAGGGAAACAAATTTCCGCTATCAAACCTTTGCATTATTTTGCGCGCGTTAATTTATCCTTCGCCGACGTGACATGCCTGTCACACGAGAAAAATAAGTTTCATCAGCCAACCGAACAACCATTTTTAACAAAGGGAGGCTATTTGAATTTTTGCTATGCAGTCAGGAACCTCCACAACACAAATTTGAAGGAACTCATTTTGTTTGTAGGCTTCAAAGGAAACTGACACTTGCAATTATTTTAAAAAATACCCCGATATGGATTAGACATGAATATTAATTTTAACGGCGACCTGAGAACTGACTCGGAAGAAGAAGAAGAAGAAATAAGCAATGTAGGCACAGTTAACCCATGCTGGCAGAATGCGCCTCAGCAATTGTGTAAATATCTTTACGCACAGGCGTCCCGAGCTTACGTCATGAGCAAAAGCAAGCGATTGATTCATGAAACCGTCACGCATTGTGTGACCCGATCTTAAGTTACCAGAGGAAACGTTGAGAATTTAACTCGTTCGCGACTGAAGCTTCTATAGTAATTGGCGATGTTTACCTCGCTTTATTCGCCATGAAATCCTTATACAAAAAAAACAATTGTTTTTTTACTAAAGATATTCACTTTTCTATATGTTCAACTTCTAATAAGTTGTACTGGATTGAAGACCAACTCGCCGACGTCTCTATTCGATTTTATACGTCAATCAAAACGGAATCAAAATTTTTAGTTAAGAATAGCACCATTCCTTCTGAGGCAAATCCTTAAAGTTCCACAACACAAACAAACCTGCCGATTATAAGCTCAGGGGTTATACAACTTCGTAAGGGTTTTAGGAGGGCTTATTAACAGAGGGACCTATAGCCGTGGGGACGTGTAACCGGAATAGAAAAGGCTAGTGCAGTGCTGATCAAAATACTTTTTTTATTTACTCGTTTTTCATTAAGATTCAAAACGTCATAATAAATCAAATTAGTTTCAATACATTTGGCACAATAAAAACTGGCAACATGAAGAAAACTGGTTCGTAGCAAAACTGAGAAAACAGACTTTTCTCTCAAAAGTTCATCTTTGCTCTTCTATCATTAAAATTTCTATGTCCAAGTCACAGCACTGAGGCTTCTCCTACTTTGGTATTGTAGAAACAAGAAAAGCTAGAACAGGGTTTATATCGGGGGGAGCTTATAATTTGATGCTTTTTTTTTGTTTTGTTTAAAGTTAGATGAGCCTTTAACCGAGGGCTTATAAATGGAAGGGGGAGGGGGGGAGGGGGGGAGGAGAGGGCACTTATAAGCAGCAGTTTACCGTATTTATATATTTACCGACAGAGACATTCTTTTTATCAGTTTTCACAAGCCTAAATGTCTCCTCTTATAATATTGTTACCCCACGCAAAAAGTGAGTAGGTTGCCTGTGACGTCCTGTTTCAGAACTTTCCTGTAATAGGTGCAGTTGTTCTCTCTTTTCAAGTCTCTACACTTTAATTTTCTTTGCCTGCAACAAAAATGCATCATCAAACAATGAGAAAACTTAAGAGAGATGAAAATATAAAATATTACATGATAATATTTGATAAGAATCCGTATTTTACTAACATCTTCTCATAAGGTAAACAAAAAGGCCAGGCATACCAGTTTTTCTATAATTTGATTATTACCTTTGTCTAATCCTTAAACCCCAGATAGTGACTACAAACTAGTTTTGCCTTGCAAATGTCATCCATAAATTAAACCACTGACAAAAAATAGCTTGATTGTTGAGCAAATTGTCTCCTTGTCAAAAAAAAAAAGCTTTTGACTGTTGAACAAAGAGAAAAGTATGGACAATAGGGAATGCATGTGTATAGATTGAGGATTAAAAAATATCATTGTGCTTCTATGATTTCCTCAGCTAACAGTGTGTTCTTGCAGGAATTGACACATGTGAGCACAGGGGAGCAGATGGGAAATGTATGTGACAGCATAACAGTTACATGAGGTCAAGTACATCTCTTAATTCAAAGGCATCAGTGATGTTTAGAAAGTTTTGTTAAATAAACTAGCCATTGGAGTGCTGTTTGAAAAACTTTCAAAACATATAATGAGTCACCATAAAATATGAAATGTCAGAGCTGTTTGATATGCTTTTATGCATGATATGTTCTAAACAAAACCTCATACAAATACTACTCTTTGTCCAATTTACTGGCACACATTTCTTAAAAAAACATTTTCAAAAATGAAAATGCCTTAAGATAATTATATTGTTTGATTTGATCATTCATTAAAATGTAGACAGTGATGGACACATCAAATTTAAATGTTTTCTTTAAACTACTGAAGAGTTTAGTGTTGTTAAGTTATCTTTAAAAGTTTTAATTTTCAAGTCAGTGTATTACACTCAATAACTTATTTTTCAATTCATTCACAGTAGACTAATAGGGAATGAAACATTTTGTTTCAGTATCTTATGATTATTATTACATTATTATAGGTAAGAAGTATTTAAATTTAAGTAGAAAAAGCACAGCATTCCTATGTCTAAGTGACTTGCTGTAGTCTCTTATTTATCTTGAGTCCCTAATTTTTGTTGATGACTGTTAATTAAAATCAGAGCGAAATTAACGAAAAATGACACCAACAATTTGACAATGAAAAGTTAAACCCCATCTCTCTCTCACTGTAGGAACCCACTGATGAAAGGATGAACCTGATTAATTCTGATTAAAGCTGACTAACTTGAGAGTATAAGAGTTAGTTTGAGAGTACATGTTTTAGTATGTAAGTACTCCAAATACTTTTGCAATTGTTTAAAATTGCAATGTTATACCTCCCAACCCAAAGCCATTTTTCATTTGACCCTAATTGTTGCCTTTGGCTCCAGTTTAAGGAACATTTGAGAGCCTTGGAAAAGAAAACTCACTTTATCCCTTGAAGCCAGTCATTTACTCCTTGTGTTTAAGAAATTAAAAGCTGAAACAAACCCTGGACATTTCTAACAAAGAAAACGCTGCACAAAAAAAGCCAAACCTTCTATTTTTATCACCCCACTCCATGAAAGGACACTTTTGTGCCCCCCCCCCCTTCAAATGACTATCTTGTCATGATAACTGAAGTTTGTGGTTTAAAATCTAACATGATATCCAAGCTAATTAAACACCAAAAGAAAAGAGACCCTGATCAGTCTCCCAGAAAGCTTACTGCTTGTCTTATGCAGGCTTTAAGTGCTTGAAACTCCTTATCACAGGCATGCTTGGTAATGTTGTCTTTCTGGGACACACAGCTTCCATAAAGAAGGGCCTGAAAAATGAATAAAAATATAATCATTAAGAAAATAAGATATCTGACAAGAACCTTTTGGTTGAGCATTAACACAATCTCAGGCATATTCTCAATACTTAAAACAAACTGAGTAAGGTTTTCAATTGAGTGAGTCAATTCTTGGATCTTGAAAGTAAAAGGGTCAAGATTTCAGCTGGTTGGCTAAGAGGAGACAATTCGGGACAGATTTGAACACCGTAATGATCTTTTTATTCATCATACACAGTGCTATCTAATTGGGCCTAAAACAATCTAATATTGGAACTAAGCTTTTCCATGACTGGTCTGTGATTGGCTAAAATAATAGCACTATCTAATCAACCAATCTGAGGCAAAAACAGCAATTTGGTTTCTTGTATTTTGCAGTGGCCTAAGTTGGTTTCTCTCTTTGTTTATCTCTGTTTTTCCCCTTCTTTTTTCATATTTTAATCACAATATCACACATTATACTAAAAATACATCCACAACCTCACTTTTACGATAAATTACTCACGATCAATAAATTCCATTATAATCCAACAAATTACCATTACATGACAGAAAACTGGGGATATCCAATGCTGTACCTGAAGTGATATTCCCTAATTTTCCAAACTTACATCTAATATGGAAAAACTCTATGTTTAGGATTTAATTAAAGATGAAAAGCATTGTGTGGTTGTTATAGAAGTAACATGTTTCTTTTGTCCATAAAATCATTTCAGAAAACACTGAAAAGTAAACTTCCCACACCATCAACAGTAAGCTGTTCATAAACAATTTTCCTGCATGTTGAAAAATATTGAGGGATAATAAACATAACAGCCTCCATTTGGTGTGAAAAGTGGGAAGCTGTGATATAATTTATTACATAAACCTCTGACAGCTTATTAAAAGATTGATGAAAGTAACAGACTTGAAAACAAAAGAGCTTCATGAAAATGCAATGGAAAGAAAAAATTATGAATTTTCAATAAGTTATGTCAATGTGATTTTTTTGCAGCAACAGTGCTTTTAATTTATTTATTACAGTTTCCTTTTTTATTTTTTAAGTAAGTCGACACATTAGGGAGCAAAATTGTTCTCTTTGCCAAATTCAGAAGAAGACACTTATTGAACAGTTAAGTTACTCTCTGTGATCCCAAAGTGCAGCAACAAACAAATCTTCCCATAGTGCTTTAACAGCTGACATGTGGCTGATCTTAAGGGACACTTTTATCACACCTTTATCACTTAGATCATTTGCTACGCTGTCATCAAAAAGAAATATGACTTTCACTTAACTTTTGTTTACTTCACCTTAGTGGTGAACCAAAGGATCCATTCTACACTTAGTTGATTTAATCATAAGTTGCATTATGCTGGAAGGCAAATCGAAACAAAACAAAGCAAAACAAGACAAAAAGTAATAAAAAAGAACCTGAATATAAATTTGTCCTGAAGAATTCATTTAACTCAGCAACTGCAAGTAATAGCTTTTTTTCCGTGGAGAAAAACATATGTAAATCCGTAGCATTGTGTAAGCTTTAAATTAAAAATAAACAAACCAAACTTCACATATGCCTTCGATGTCATTTTATTATTCTGGTTTTCAAATAACTTTCCTATTAGGTAATTTGTCACGGTTTAGATTGATACGAGCAATGCTCAGAAAAAGAAATGTGGGTATAAACTGGAACAGTCCGTGGTTCCAACCCCTTGCAGCTACATGTACCGGCATTTCATAACCAAGTCTTGCGCAATTTTGAACATGACTACATTGTTAAAACGTACTTACTTGTGTTAACTACACGTACTTCTTAGGCGTAGTGAACGCAATGTGCCTAGTAAACTCTTACCTCTGTTTTGCATTCCACAAGAGGCTTCGCTAAACCCGAGATTCTTCTGCAATCTTTGCCCATTAAGCTCATTATTTCAGATAAATCTTCGTTTTGCCATATCCGCCATCTTTAATAGCGCGCAATGTGTCTAGGGCATGAAGTGATTGGCTTAACTTGGCTACAAAGCGGAAATGAATTGGATTAAAACCGGAAGTTCGGTCACTTGTCTTTGTGATACGTATTAGCAGACAAGCAAACAAACAGACCATATGGCTTTCTGAAACACGTTTACAAAATTCTACGAAACGCAAAATATAGGAAACTTGGAAAAAATCTTGTGAAGGTTACTCTTTTTAAGTTTTGTCAGTTGTCAATTAGTTGCGAAATTTATTCTTCTCACAGCAGGATTTCGCCTGTCCTGAGGTAAAACCGAAACAAAACTGAAACAAGATTGTAGCAGATGGAAAACTTTTTCTGAAGGCATGGCCTATCAATATAATGGTAAGATTACAGTAAACCTGGTGTGAAATGCTTGTGTGGCACAAAACTTTTCAACCTGACTTTGTTTACCCGGTTGTTGAATTATGAAGGACTCGTCACAATATAGCGACATTGATATCTGTTGTCATTAAGCCCGTTTCAGTATTGGCCATCTAGCGCAAACTCCGCCCTAACCTTCTATTTCTGGAAATAACACATCTCCGCCGCGACTAGATCTTTGCAACGATCTCAACAATTCTTACTGTCAATCCCATAATGTTTGTACTTCGGCTTCTCGGACCCATTGTCTAAGATATTGGCATTTATATTGTACACGTTTTCGTGTTCGCAGAAACACCAACATTGGTAAACAACGATTGGAGCGCTGAAGGGAACCTCAGTGTTTATCCGATTACCTCTTATCATTCCTTAAGGATTTTAGTTCTAATTTGTTTTTACACCGGTGTAAATCGTCAAGGTCAGTAGAGTGGACTTCATTTGAATTTTGTTGAAGGATTACGATCGCCATGTGTGTGCGACATGAAGTACAGTTGTTCGTGATTTTATCTGTTTTTGTACATCTAAGTGTTTGTGTATGGCCTTGGCCAAATTGGGGGGATAAACCAAAACCTATTGACGGAAACTGGAGCACTTGGTCAGCTTGGAGTTCTTGCAAAATCCCATCGGATAGCAATTTGCTGCCATTTCGACACAAAGAAAGAGATTGCACTAACCCAAAACCGAAAAATGGCGGAGCCGATTGCGTAGGAGAAACGAGACGTACCTCGGGTTGCGACGATTGTAATATTCCCCTTGGCATGGAGAGTGGTCGAATACAAGATTCGTTCGTGACGGCTCTGGACTCGCACAAAGATTTCCCTGCCTCGTCGGCCAGATTGAATGGGAAATCTGCTTGGTGTTCTGATTATCCCGATAGCCTATTGGAACCTTTGTACCTTCAAATCGACATGAAGAGAATTACGACGATATCTGCAATCGCAACACAAGGTTTCTACCCTCCAGTGGAATTAATGTCTCTTCGAATGGGAAGAGTTAGCAAATATCAACTGAAGTACAGTATAGACGGTGTTTCTTGGCAGCTTTATAAAAACAGCGACAATGCTACAATTTTATTTGGGAATAAAAAACGAAACGGTACTGTGCTTAATGTGCTTACACCGGAAATCACCGCACGTTTTCTACGCGTGTACCCATCCAGTTACTTTTCCTTCGTTTGCATGAGGCTAGAAGTGTATGGTTGTTCGTTCGGTTGTGGCGGCGCTTTGGCCCAAGAACCTGGAAACATCGTGACAGAGGGTACGCCGACGGAAGATCAAGATTGTCTGTGGTCGGTGATCTTACCAAACACTTCACAAATACATTTTGATTTTATTAATTTCAACATTCCTTGTAGTAATGGATTAGTGGAGTTCAGAGATGGTGGAATGCCTTATGCAACTGCACCCTTATTGGTCGAGTATTGTGGTTACGAAAGCAGCCTTCCTCCCCCAGTCAGTTCTAACAGTAGTAGGTTATGGGTACGATACAAGTCTAATTCCTCAGATCCTCAGGTTGGCTTTTATGCAGTGTACTTCCCAGGTTGCGAGGAACAATTACAAGGAAGTAATGGTGATGTCAAGTCACCTAATTTTCCTAAAGAATATTTTCACAATTCTAAATGTACATGGACCATCTCTGTGCCGGAAGGAAAATCTGTGAAATTACTTTTTTTGGATTTTAAAGTCGAGGGAGACCTAAATAGGCAGAGATGCCCCCATGATCATCTGACAATATGGAATGGCACTGATTCGAATGCAACAATCATTGGAAAGTTCTGCAATAGCAAACCACCCCCTTCAGTTATCTGTAGCTCAGGGAATACCCTTCGCCTGAAATTCCACAGTGATGATGCAATAGCTTGGACAGGATTTCATATCAGGTATCAAGCTGCTGAGCCGTCAGCATATTGTTCTGAAATTTCTTCATCTGTTGTCATGCCAACATCATCGCGGTCATCTATGTCCCATATGGCCCTCACTCACACGCCATATTTAACCACACAGCATGCATTGTTTCCTGCAAGTGGTTATCTTGCAGAGTTAACACCAACATTTGTAAGCTTATCAACCTCAATGGCTTTAAATGGAACATTTGGCTTTTCTGGAACTACCATAATTGGAGAAATGCATGCTGCAGCAAGAGGCAAACAAGATGATGAGGATGAGGATGACAGCCTGTTGACTGTGGTTGTTCTTTCAGTGTTAGCTTTTCTTGTCATTTGCATGATTTTGGCAAGTATGGTGCCCTGTGCAAAACGTCACATTGAAAAGCGAAAGCAGGAGAAAGAAATGAACTTGGTGTTTGCTGCTAGTTCAAGTATTCCTGAAACAAACAGCAAAGAGACATTTGAAGTTGTAGACAACAATACATTGCCAGTCCCAGAGATTGTAATGTGTGAAGGATCCTCCTGTGAGGAAATCCTTCCCCTGGCTGGAGTAGCAGAGAGTGTCTCTCTCTATGAAACTCCTTCGGGGGAAGAAACTACTGCTAAAATTGATACAGGGGAAGTAAGTTGACCTCTAAAGCAGGAGGTGGCATAGAGCAGATGAAAGATGGACTGAATGACTTAGGGGATGAGTTTGATGAGAACTCCTCCATTAATCTTGATGGTGCTGAAACAGAGATGGATTGCTTAAAGATGTCCTATGAGGATCTAGGCAGTAGTTTTGCCTCTGAAATGCAAGCAATGTTGAGTCATTTTGTAGAAAGTGATGATCAACCAGCTCAGAATGAAAGACATTCATCAAATCCAAAAACTTCCTCCCAGGACTGTGATCATGAAACAGGAAAGACAAATATGAATGGCATGGAAGCTAAGGATATTGGTAACATTCCTCACAGCACAATTCAAGATGATAACAGGTCAAACCTATCAACTGAGGAGGCACCTTCATCCTCCATCTCCAGTCAGGAGGAGGAAAGACAAAGCTTACTTAATGGGGATGAGGCAGCTGATGAAAATGAAACATGGGAAATGCAGCCTATTCATACTGATGGTCACAGTTGGAGGAAAGCAGCCAAAGATGGAGTTTCAGTATCCTGCAAAGACAAGAAAGACTCTGGCTGTGCTTCAAGCAGTGAGAACCTGCATTCTGTTGAAAGATGTCTCCTTGATGCTGGTGATACAGAGACTATTGTTTAGAGTAAGTGCAGGTACCATAAATTAAAAGCTCTCAAAATGTGTCAAGTTATCTCTATAATACTAAAGATGGTAAACATTTAGAACTGTGGGTTCTAATATGTTTTCCTAGTTACCAACTAGAGCATACCAGGTGAAGATACATTTTTTTAGTTAATAATGGGATGTTGGCAATATGCTGTTCAGGATTACATGCCATTTAAATCTAGTGATTAACCTTTTCACTCCTTTTTATGAGAGAAAATTTAACTCACAAGTGTTAAGAGAATTAACAAAATCATCAACTGGGGAACATAACATTGAAAAGTCAAAGCAGAGTTGCTGGGTTAATTACCCAGCAATTTTAAAGGTGCTCTGTAATATCAAAGTTGTACAATTCATCCAAAGACTAGAGTTAGTCACCTACGAAGTGCTCTGTTATTGATAGAGTTTTGTCCATGTTACAGCATATTCTCAGCACTACTGAAAATGAACTGGAAGGATTTACAGTCAAGTGAGTTAGTTTTCAGACCTTTGGAATGAAAGGGTCAAGATTTAATGTAGAGGCTGAAGAGACAAATTGGGACAGATTTAAACACTGATCTTTTAACTGGTGGGATATAGTTCTGTTTAAAAATTTACCCCAGTTTTATTATAGGCATTAACAAAAATATTTACTAGTTAAAAATTTAGTTTTTGGTAATTTGTTTTGGCATATTGTTAAGTTTGGGAGAGTTCTAAAAGATTTTGTTTAAATTTAAATGTAAAAAGAAATTAAGGAGATGTGAGCTTGCCAGGAATGTTATTTATATCATGAAAGGGTTTAAGTTATCAATATTTCATAAACAGGCAAATTTAAGGAGTGAGTGTTAGATTTAAGGGGGCAAATATGCTGCAGGCATTTCACATATACTCTACCAAAAATGCTGTTATGGAAAACAAGTAGAATTTCTCATATTCTCATATCATTTACTCTTTAACTCTCATGATTGACCAAAACAGAATTTCTCCTTGCAATATCAATACAATATCAAGTAGATAAGTGATGAGAAGAAAGAAAAATATCAATTTGGGAATATTTAGTTGACCTAATGCTAAAATTCTCTGAACTAACATAAAAATTGTATGGTTGGCAGTAAGGAGGATGACAAATTTGATCTGGGAGTTAAAGGGTCAATACCATTGATTGACGAGAATACTTGTGAATATATATATTTTTTTTATTTATGCATGTTTGTTCAGTTAAACTATAGGGCTGTCATTCTACATTGCATGTTAAAATTCAGAAGTGGGGCATAGGAGATGTCTTGTTTTAAGGGAAACGCAAATTGGTGCAGAGTTTCTTATGAGTTAAAGTGCAAACAGCTATTGCCTATAGATAATGAAATATTTAGGATCACTAAAGATCTCATTTTAGAATTTTCTTAGCGTTTTTTTGAAAATTACTTGTTAGCTTTGAAAAGAAATCTTGTAAAAAAATTTATATCAATGTCATATAACTTTACATTGGCTGACATGTGCATGATAGTGACCTGCTTGAGCCTTGGCCACCTTGAACTTTGTACTTTCTCAAACTCACAGCAAAAATGTGAACTCCCAGCATCTTGAAGATGTCTTTTCTGGGGTCAAAGGATAATTTCACTTAATAGGAATCTGCTCTTATTGGAATTATGGTAATGTTCTTATTTATTGGCTCAAAACTGTATTTTTTTTTTCTTTTGAATGTTGTCAAGAATTACCATCATTACCCATTGCATTTCACATAGCTAACCACAGTTACTCAAATATTTCACCTGGTACTGTAAGGAAAGCTCTTGGCCCTTTCACTCCCAAGATCTCATTAGTAATTCTCCTTACTTTCTGCCATACAATTCATATGATATTAGCTCAGAGAATTTGGTAATGGATCAGTTAATAATCTAATTGATATTTTTCTTTATTCTCATTACTTGTCTGCTTGACATTGTATAGATATTGTAAGGAGAAATTATGTCTTGGTCACTCATGGGAGTTAAAGGTTAAGGCTGCATAGTTTATAACTTAACCTACATATACAAACACTATAGGGAGATGCTATACAACATTGCAGTTCTCTTATTTATTACTGTATTCCTTCTTAAAATTAAATATATAAATATATATTAACATATCAATTTTCCTTCTGCTGGTAGTAACATAAACCAACCACATATATCTAATAAAGTAAAATTGATATTAGAAATTATTTAACTAGGGTCACTTTGTAATTTCATTTGGTTGTAGTATAATTTCTGTATTTTGTTTTAATTAAAACTAAAACTTATAATCGAAAATTTAAGTTGTTGGCCTCCTTGAAACTTTAGGATGCAGCTCTCTTCTACCAATGCAGATTTTCTTGAAAAAAAAATCAGATGTTTTAGTTCAGAGGAAGTGCATGGTTTAATTCTGAACAACCCCATCAATGGCCACCTTTTACTATGATTTAGGTTTGATTGTTTCAGCTGAGTATCATAAAATTTTTTTTTTGGTGGGGGGGGGGTAAGTTTCTAAAGAAACTGTGGTGCTGCATCAGTAGGGGAGTGTAACAAGACATTTTGGTGTTATCAACTGAGTTGATAATGTTGATTGGCCACAGTTTAGCACAAGAATACGAAGTAAGGAGTTCAACCAAAGCAAAAACCTTGGACTTTTCATTTACATCAACCTTTTATTTTCCGGATGTGATTAACATGTATCTTCTCCCAACAATACCCATAGGTCATCCAGCAATCGGGTTATGAGAACACTCAAACTTATCAGGTATAACTAATTTACAAGGTGTAATGTATGACATTGTTCCATGCCCAGGATGTGAGTGAGGTGTACTGAAAACTCAACAGAGATTTGTGTACCCACAATAGATGTAAACTCAGCTGTGTATGTAGCAAAACAATCCCCTGCCATGCGTGATACTGAATACAAGACTGTCAAGGATGAAAGCGTGACTTCTTATGTCATAAACCACACCTGGAAATGCGTAGCAGCTAGAGGGGAGAATTGACAATTAGATATTTGGAGTTAAAGTTAAGTCATGAGACCTGACCAGAAGGCTGTGACTATCAAGACGAAATGTTGGTGGCCCTAAAAACAGGAAGTAGACAAAGATTGAAACCACATATGACAAAGTGAAATAATGAATATTAATTTATTCTAATCAGTTACCCAGAAGACCAAGTCTCACACAATTCAATTGAGCCTAATTCTTTTGGTCAACAGCCCTATTTACAAAATGATTCACTAAAGTCTAGTTTAGCTACCTCAGGTTGCAGCTCTTAACTGTCATTTTTATTTTCTTTTGTACACAACACCATGTTTTATTCTAGTTATTAATTTTTGCATTTAAAACTTGAACTCAAATTGATCTGGTCCCTTAGTAACTAAACACACCTTAAGCTATAGACAGATAGGTCAAGAATCTGCTCCTGCAACTTACATTACCCTTTTGGAATTTTGGAGCATTTCAGGCAGTTACATTATCATTAAATTATCACTAAAGGAATCAGACAGGTTTCACAAACATAACCCTTCAACTACTGTATTTATTCAATTAAGCACTGCCCTTGAAGAAGCATCACATCTGAGATAATAGATGTATTCAAGCTATGCCTCTCAGTAAGAGCCACACCTAGGAAAGAGGTAACTTACTTTGGGTTTTGAAGAATGTAACTCGCACATAAGTAGGGTACAACCTTGTCTAATACCCTATTGACACCAAAACTTAAACATGTTTAGAGGCTGTTTTGGTAAAAAACGGTTTAAAAATGTTTTCTTCTTTGAAGCTGTGTAAAGAAATGTTTGTCAACTTAAAATACAAGTTTGTGCCCATTTGAACCACATGGAAAAATCAATTTTTCAGTTCTCTGTTTCTGATTTAATTCAGTTGAACCCAATTTAACTTAACATATTTTTGTTGGTGTTAATGGGGTATACAACAGAATGAGAGACCTATTTTTCAGAGTTCTTAAACTGTTAGTAAAATCAAAATTCACTGTGCTTAGAATTTATCATTGTGATTGAAATTATAATCCCACTAATAATAATCTATAGCAATGCAAAAATCATTCCAGTGTGCTGTTTATTCAAGGGCACAGTTTATTTCAAAATCAATATTTCTTAAATTGCAAACAAAATTATGGTAAATCAGGTGTAATGTTTTCGAAAAGAAAAATAATGGCAGTTCCAATGACTCACCATTAAGCTGAGCTAGAATCAAAACTGTATGTTCTATTGGAGCCACAAGTGTGGAATACAAAGTTGCAACATGTTTCTTTTTTCCATGTAATCCCAGTCTGAAAATCACACTCTTATGCTTGGGTGAAATGTTCATTCAAGCACAGCTTCATATGTAATTTTGCTTCCATCTGTAGTGTTAGATCAAGGGTGGAGTTCATTCAAGGGAAGTGTTTAATCAAGGGAACATTACTGTTCATAAAATTGTTACAATCAAATATAAATAACACAATTTTCTAACTTAATATAAAAATGAATCACTTCTCAAGTTCACACAAAAAATTTTATACAATACCTGCCGTGTAAGAACCACCATTCTAGAACAACTTGCATTAAAATTATCCTAAAAGTACTTGTAAAACTACAATATATAGAAAAAAAGTAAGAAAAACTGAAACCAAACCCCCCCAGGTTTTTCACAAATCCTAAGTACTCCTTCATTGTGCTTTGTAGTGAGTACAACTAGGAATTAAAATTTAAATACCGATACTATCAATGGTAATATGGACTTTTGACCAAGAGAGTTACTCATGTTATTTTCCTTAACAAATGCAAACCCCCGGGAAGTAAGGAATTCATGCAAGTATCAAAGCAATTGCACACCTACCCTTCCCCTAACCCAACCGTAACCTTTACTTACTATCAGTTGACTGTTGTTGGATCAAGGGAGGGGTAGGTGAGCAGTCACTTTAATACTTACTTTGATCCTAAATGAGCATGCAGCATTACTGTGTTCTAGAAAATAACCAAACATGTACTTCTTTTATGAAGGGGGGGGGGGGTGTTTCTTTAAAAGGCCCCCCTACACTCTCATTGTCTAACCCCTCTCTTTCATATGAACAAAACTTTTTTTCATGGTTGCCCCAGTCATTGGTGTTTGAAATTCCCTGACAGTCTCAAAAAATTTCCCTGACAAACTGAGTTAACAATTGAGAATTTCACAAACAAGTTCTGATTACATCTTAATGCGTCCCCTCACAGCCATCCTCTCCTCTCCACCCAAACATTTATACTTCCAGCAAGTCAAATCCATCAAACGTGAATTGATAGCTCCTTAACCTTTTAACCCCTGAGAGTGACCAGGATCTAATTTCTCCCTACAGTAATACTGCTGAATCATTCATCAAGATCATGAGAACAAGGGAAATGATCACCAACTGATATATAGGCAGTTTTGATTGTTAAACAAATTCTCCTTGTCAGTATCAAAAGAAATGTATAGAGAAGACTATAGAGAATATGGATACTGATGTTAGGGTGCAATGAAAAAATGACTGATTTTCTTGGAAATCTAACATCAGCTTGATCCTGTCCTGTGGCAACCGGGTTGTTTTTTTTCATTTGAGACACCAGTTCACATGTTTTGTATTTGTGACCCCAGTACACATGTGTACACCACTCTGCCCATTAACCCTTTCACTCTCAAGATCTAATTAGTAATTCTCCTTACTATCTGCCATACAGTTCTTATGATGTTAATTCAGAGAATTTAGTATTGGATCAACTAATAATCCCATAACTGATATTCTTCTCTATTCTCATCACCTACCTGCTTGATATTGTATTGATATTGTAAGGAGAAATTCTGTCTTGGTCACTTGTGGGAGTGAAAGGGTTAAGATATTCCTAGACCTTGTCAGGCAGGGTATACAACACCACTCAAAACAACATGTAGGTATTTTCTGGGGCCATTGAAAATGACTTAGCTTACATCTACATGTGCACCTTAAATCTACCTGTTCACGTATCATGCCTCATTCCAGAAGTTATAAGAATCAAACAGATCAGTGATCCCTTCTGTATCTGTCAATGTGAATAAATATTCCTCTTCAGTAAGATTTGGTGATAGAGGAATCAAGGCATCGCTGTCCAAATCTTCCAGACCAGTTGTTTCATCATTTGTCTGTAAAAGAATATTTTTCCTTGGACTGATTATGGTGGACAAAATGCTTCTTTGAAGATCCTCGTTAGATCTCTGTGAGGGTACTGCCAAATCATCACAGTTTTGAGGAGTTTTCTCAGGTGTCAGAAGAAAATGGCTTGGTGTTGTTTGAGGCGCTGGCTGTCGTTTGATGGGAGAAATGTCCTTCATTGGAGATTGGGCATTTACTTGTTCCTCAGGACATAGATAAACATCAATAGGGCCTCGAATACTTTTCAGCCAGATTTGGATGCTCTGTCAGAAAAATAAGGAAAAACAGTACAGTTAACACTGACTGATTTGCAGATAAGCCACACCCCAAACTTGGTGACACCAATTTGGGAAGAAAGGTTTTAAAGCAAAGAAATCAAAACAAATTGCAAGTGGGGTCTTGAGAAAGTCATTTGTATTCATTGCTTCATCAAACATACACTTGAAATGAAATTTCATTGAAAATGGAGAAAATTTTGAATCCTTAAAGTAAAAGTACCCTGGTACATTAGAGAGAAATTGGTATGATGTATTCTTGTGTGTAAAAATATGAACCATAATATACTGCATATTCATTATGATAGAATTCCATTCATTTTCACAAGGTTTTTAAGGAAGAAATTAGATCTTTTGCTTACAATTACATTTATGTGTAACTGGATGTACATTTATTCAGGTATGCTAGGTGCCTTTAGCACCTTGTGGCAAATTTTTCATCTCAAAACTTCAATCCCAAAAAAAGTTCTGTTAGGAGTTAAAAAATTAGCATCTCAGAATAACACAGCTGCTTATTTTCACTGCTTCCTGACCCTGGAAATGTCTTTGACTTTTTTACATTATGCAAAGATAGGAACTCAAGATGATAGACAAACATTCGCTTAACCATCAGTTTTTATCACAAAAACAATACCATTGAAATAAACATCGACCATTCCACAATAAAGAATAAAATTGGCTTGCTTATAATTTCTAATTACATAAAGGCATGCGAGAGTAGACGCATATGCCTGCCTGTTGAGACTGGTATCTGTTTTGTCTTTTGTATGTATGTTTAACATGCTTATTTCGATCCCTTGAAAAATTTGAGCTACACTATGTGTCACTTTGGCTTACATAACACCAAATTTCTTGTTCACAACATTGGTAAAAAATTCAGTTTACATGCACTGCAGCACACTTATAAAATAATGTAATGTAGAGGGAAAAAAATCCTTTTGTTACCTCCTTGGGATCTGGTACTTCTAGCCTCGTTTCTGGTGGAGCTTTAATTGCAATCACTGTCCTGTTTTTGAAATGCTTGACATCACGAATATCTCGATATGTCACGTACGCATATGTAGTTAAAATGAAGGACAATAATATCTGCTCGGATTCTGATTTATCTAATCCCTTAAAACCTAACATGACAATGTAAATTCTCCATACTGTTCTCTACACATTTTGTCTGGCATCGACAAGGAGAATTTGTTTAAAAATTAAGACCCTCTTGAGTTCATGGTTATTTTCTTTACTCTCATGACCTTAAGGCTTGATTCAAGGGTAGTAATATTGGGAGAAATTACATGCTTATCACTCTAAGGAGTTATGTGGTTAATTAAGCTGTTTGAGATAATGACCTATTGTTTTGTCTGAAAGCTGTCATGTCTATCTTTACTGGTGATATTTTAGTAAGATAGCAACCTGTGCCAAATGGCAGTATTAAATGGAAATGGAAATGAAAGGAACAAAAGTTGGGGGCCCTGTGTACTTCTTTAACTGTAAACTCATCATAAATTCATGCTGGAAAGGATATTTGGCAACTTCAGGATCTTCTGTAAGATTTTTTATTTCTGAGCGGCATCCCTCTATCATTCTATCAAGGAAAGATTCTTTAGCAACAAGGTCAGCAATGTCTGTGTGAAGATCCATGGTTTGCGCTGAAATTGATTCAGCTCCCTTTGTCCGCCGAGAACTATCAGTATAGCAGGTACCCCTATGATAACAATACAAATAGGTTCAAAGACTATTGAATAAAACAACAGCAAAAGTCATGCTCTATCCACATTCTCTATACTGCTCTCTATACATTTCTTGAGAAGCTGACATGGAGAATTTGTTAAACAATCAGGAGCTTCTTCAGTTGGTGATCATTTCCTTTATTCTCATGACATTAAAGTGTGATTCAGTGATGATATTATAAGGAGAAATTAGATGCTAATCACTCTTAGGGGTCAAAAGGTTAAGTTGGAAGAATTTTAAAAATCCTGGTCAGTACCAAAATTATCTTGCACATTATGAAAATATTAAGTTACCCAATAGTCCATTTGGGTCTGTATCATCTGCCATAGATTCTATTACATGTACCTTCACCCAAACAGAATAAAAGAAAATCTAACTAGCTGGCATTGGAAACTCAACAGTAATAAGCAAGCTGCCATGCTCTGGGAAAAGAAAAATGCAAATGACTGAGTAATGATTTTGCTTAATCTGATTGGTTGACATGGAGGTGTAAATTTCCCACATGGCTACAAAGGGCAAAACCAATTCAGAGCTGAATAACTCTTGCTGATCATTGGAAAATCTCTCCTACCTCCACTCAATATTATTCTTGGATTTCTTCTTTATCAGCCCAACACCTTCTAGAACATTGGTAATGTCATAGATTCGTCTTTTCTGGACCTCTAAAACATCTGCTGCCTGGTTCAAATCCACCACACCATCTTCAGTGCTTTTCAAAAGACCCACAAACTTTTTGGTCAAGATCCCCAGTGATGTATCATAGCGTGTCTTCTCTATTGGAGATTTAACAAACACTGCAGAAGAAGAGAAAAACGTGATAAATATTTGTTTATCATTGGCAGTTATAAATCTTGCTGTGATGTCTCATCGTTGATATTCCAACCAATTTAAAATCTCCTTTTCTTAGACAATGATATTTAAGGCTACACTGAGAACGATCTTTCAAATAAAAGGACTATGTTGAACTATATCTTAATTTCCATAGTTATGCCCAAGTGCAAATCTTCATTTATTTCTGACACTGCATAAAGATGTGTTCTTGCTTTTACCAATCCTCACAGGTGAAGCATTTCCTTCGATTTACTGCAAACGCCCCTTAATGATTACGGATTATGGCTCCTGACTTCTTTTCTTTGAAATGAACTCAAATTATTCAGAAACTATAAAACGCAAGCGATGTGGAAAATCTTTTGACTGCGAACAATAAACTTCTTAGAAGACTTCATTTGCATAGTTAAACCTTTGTTCGAGCGCGTAACAACATATTCAGGGATATAGAAATCAAAGTTTTAAAAATTTTACCATGCTAATCAAGAACATTTTGCTCACTCAAGGAGACTGTGCCATTGACAATTCGCATTTGCCGAAAATAAATTATACTCAGTTCTACAAGGAAGACGCTTACGAACAATCCCGGAAACACACACGTGTATAAATCCCTTTGTTCAGAATGATAATTTTGCAGATTTCTCTTTTTTCATTAAACTGTAGGAAATACTTTGTAAACACGAATAAAAATCCTTACTCTTTGGGTATGGTTGCATTTCTCTGCGCCCTCGTCTTCTAGTGTATCCTTTTGCTTTTGGAGTTCTGAATGACTGTCTTACTTGTGTAGGAGATTCATCCAGATCGAGTTTTCTTTTCACCTAATATTAAACAACCTCAAATCAGTACTGAATTTCTCAGATAAAACTGTGATTAGTATAGTAGAAGTCTTGAAAACGACCTTAGAAATCTACGTACCTGAGGCCTTGAACTTGGGCAGACTGATCGTTCCTTCGAATAGACATCGGGTGTACATAAAACCGGCTTCGATCCTTTGAATGCGGGCGATGGCGGGGCTTTTGCTTTCATTTGATGCGAGGAAGTAGTACCACTGTTCAGAATTTTTCTACTGATCGAGTTTAACTGATGACTATGAGCGCTTAACGGCGGTCTTCCACGACCTTCAATCGAGTATCTTCGCGTCGCCATATTGTTCAACAATGGAGTGGGTTCTTCGACAGCGTTTCTGTTCAATAACTACTCCACAACTTCCTGCAGAGCCTTTACAATGGAAGAAATAGCGGCTGTAAAATACTTAAATAAGCTTCTTTCCGAAGTTTAGAGCTTATTTTGTTCCAAATAGCTTCAAATCTGCGAGATAAGCTGTACGATTGCTATTCAATTGATCCTTCGAGATGAATAATGAAAATAAAAAGCGCGCGCTTTCAAGTTTCGCGCCGGGAAGTGATCACGTGGTATGGCTTCTAGTCTCAGACCTCGCTGGGTCAAAACCACGCGACCATTTTACATTCTTCTTCATTGCAATGGCAGTTTACATTCAGTTCTCGCGTTTGTAGACAAAAACGCAAGTTTGGGAGAACCTAAAAGCAGATAACAGCCTTCTAACTGCTCAGATATTATTCACTATTGAATGAATTTGCATAAATATAATTTTCTGTAATAATAATGCTATCACAACACAAACGCTTTTCTTTGTCATGGTCTGTTGAATCCGCCCTAGCGAATTGCAAAAATTAAGCAGATGCAGTTAAAGTGCAGGTGAACTTTTAATGGATCTTTGGCTGTTCTCTAACTTCCTTTCCCTATGCCTATTTTGGAAAATATTAACAGTCCTAACTAAATAGTTCCTGGGTAGCATTTTCGTTTTTCGAGCTGTTTTAAAGTAAACTTACAGATAGGGCAAATTCATTCGTTATACGATTAAAAAGAAATTTGCTTAGGGTACAATGTATTTATATCGTATACTAATTATTTTCCCTTTAATCCCCTCTAGGCAAATTAGTAGTCCTGCTGGATGAAAGCGCTAAAACTGAGATATTTTCTAGAAATTGAGAGCGGAAATTATCCAGTCGACTCACGCTGTTCTTTCGCACTTTTCCAATTTTTCGTTTTGCGCCAACGTAACACGTAGTTAAACCTCCCTGGGACGCCTTCGAGCAGTTATTGTTTGGAAGATAGTTGAATAGACATAAACTCGATTGCACCTTAATAAAGGTCGATAAGAAGAAAAAAATGGACGCGGATTCAAATCTCGACTTTATTGAGTTATTTATTTGCAGTCATATTCCTAAAATGATCAGATTTCATTTTAAATATTGCTGTCTTCCAGCCAAGATGGCGGTTGATGCATCCTTTCTTTAAACGATCAAGTCTCGAATCTGTGTTTTTATTTACGAAAGGAAAGCTTCTAACATGCATCAGCTATTATTAACTATTGAATAAAGCTATTTTAGTTAAGTTCGTCACGATTTAGTCTTGAGGAAAAACAAACATAGATGTACATCTATTTACATATAAATGAAGACATCTTGCCAAGTACCTATACAACACTGCGACAAAAAATAAAGGAAAATAAATAAACAAATAAGAAAAAAAAAAAAAACATTCGCAAATAAGTTATTTTAGACTGGCAGGGTTCTATGGAAGAGTCATTTGTCTGAATTTTAAAATGCTCAAGCTGAGTGATCAAAGGCACACATGCAGTTACCTTTCCTTTGTTTCAGTAAGCGCTAAGCTATGACCTATTATGTAACCCATATGGTATACATTGGTATACACTGACAGTAATGTTTTGAGGGAATTAGTTTTTGGCGCCAAAAGCAGTCAGCTGAGATTTAAGCATAATTATTTCTCGCGCTCTATTTGCTTATGCACAGCCAACGGGCCTTAGAGAATTCTGTTGTTTGTGCACAGTTGAGCTGATACCATTCAAAATGATTGCTCGCATTCTATTGAAAGTGGATATCGAGCTTACAATTTTACATCAATTTGAGCCTCTTAAACGCCAAGCCAATTAGAACCGTGCTGTTGAAGAAGGCGAAGCATCGATGGTTTATTTACGCCGAGATTTTAGTAATGGGTGTGTTCCACAAAGCACTTTTTGTGCAAAAGGGCGTTTTATTCAGTCGGTGATTTTAAAAGAAGTTTTCAAGGCATGCTTCACTGGTTTCTTTGTTTTTGGGATCTAAATATGCCTCGATAAGCAGTATAGTAAACACCTCCTCGAATTAATCAGCAACTGGGTCAACCAAGCGCGAACAGAAAGAAAAGCTAAAAGGCAGCCATCGAAAATGATCGCGCGAATACTCAACCACGTGCTCAGTGTTATTTCGGCCCTGCTCGCAGCTCACTAACTGACGAGGCTATGTAAACATTAAAATAAGTCCTGTGTTGCTTGAGTATGTCTCTTCCACCGCCTCTCAGTCTTCTTTCCTTGGGCTCAGACCTAGAGATCTCATAGAGCTTGAAAGATGAGTAAAGTAAATAGTCTTCCCACTTCAATCGGTGCAGCCTTGGAACATAGGTCCGCTTTTTGCTATGAATCCAGATACTCGCTCAACCTTCTTTCTGTGAATTGCTCAGAACGCCTGTGCAAGAAAAAAGAGAGAATATTCTCACGACGATTAAAGAAAACACTCTACAAAGAATCAATAACAATCAATGGAAGGTTCAAGTATTGAGTCAGCAAGTACTTGTCCTAAGCAAAGGGGCATTGGGTTTTCCAGTTTTGGTGTTCGTTGTGGTTTGCGTTTTTCCCGTGTTTGAGCATTTGGTTTTCGGTTCTCATCAAAACTACTACAGTGGATCCTCTATTTAACGAGGTGCCAAGAGACTGGGAAAATTGGTTCGTTATATCGAGGAAAAACAACCTAGATGTTCGTTATATCGAGGTATGGTTAATAATTGCCCTTTTTTTGTGGTGTGACGTTTCGCTACTTAACATTCTATGATCGGAACGATTACTGTAGATAACATCAATCTGAAATTATTTTTCAAAATTTCTTTTAAAAAAACTAAACTAGTTAGCGGCACTTTGCTAACAGTACTTGTAAAAATGTTTTATTCTCTGCCGTCGAAGCACGTTCCGTCTACCTATCGTAGACTTCTTCAGGGAGTTTTACAAGTTAACACTACACGCCTGTATTTAGAAGCCACACTTAGCGGTTACTAAGGAGGCTATTACGGAGGCCAATGACCCCATATAGGCTTGGCTGAACTTACGAACAAGAACAGGGGAAGTGGTGAAAAATCTTGAAAATTTTTTTTAGGCAAGGTGAGAAAAATATTTGAAGGCCACTAACTTGAAGGTTAACTTTTAAAACTCCCTGAAAAAGTGGACGACAGTTAGAAGAAACGCATGGAAGAATAAACCATTCGCACAGTGCTGCTCACTAATTAAGTTTTTAATATATCAAAAATAGCCTATTAAGACCTGAAAGTTTGGAGATTCTATTGAAGTGTTGCATCAATTAGTCACGAGTAACCGGTAACTTGTCCGATTGAAGCTACCCAGTGCAATTTGGTACTTTTCGTGCACTCAGTTACCGGCGCATGATGCACGTTGGAAGCCATAATTTGCAAACTGATCGACCTAAGGGCTCCACATTGCAAGGTCAAAGTCTCGGGCGTCATCCGAGACGCGTGGTCCCTTACGGATCCCTACGATTTTTCACCTAAGAGAAGTTACTTTGGTGACATTTGATTTGTCATGCATTCCTCCCGGCCAAAGTTACAGTTAAATGTATGGGACAGAACTACGATATAACGAAATCCTCGTTATAACGAACACAATCCAGAAGCCCAAACGGATAATATACCCCGACATCTCGAACAAATATCAACATACATTATATCATATAGAAGTCCTCAAGCAAACCACATCCACGGCGGCAAGAAGGACATGGAAAAACAAGACCTCTGATGGGCAGAACAATAGCTTAGCATATGCGCCTTTTTTAAAAAAAAAGTTTGTACATGTACATTGCTAGCCGTCCTCTGCAAAACACAACGTAAAATCACCAAACTTTGCATGGTCTGGGAACGGAAACCCCAAGAACAAATTAGGCAAGTGTCCATTTGGAACTCAACGCTGCACACATTCGTTATTTTATAGTCAAGGTGTGGCTTACGAAACGGTTAACACACCCAGTCATTCAATAACTTTTAACAAAAACTATTGATTCAATCGACGTCTTCCCCGGCGTTACCGTCCTGACTTAAAAGCGGAGATATTACGTGTATACTGTTTCTAGTATAGATCCCTTCAAACAATCGGCTACAATTGTGTTGTATCTCAAAGCAACAACACACTCACCTTTGTGACTTAAGCGTTGCATTGATGTGGAGAAGGCTTTCTTCCAAAGAACCGAAAGATACATCAACTTCCGGGAGGTTCATCCCCTCAACGAACTTTGGCGACTTCTAAATGGATCGAAAGGAAACAATCACAAAGCAGTTAGTTTTTAGTAAGACTTTACGAGACGTAAATTATTTGATATATTATTCGTTCAAAACACTGTAAATAGGTATAAAATTTGGAGAGTTTTTATTTCAAATATGGAAAGTCATTGTTTGGGTAAAGTTTTTTTTTTCTTTTTCAATTAAAGTTTTAGCAAAAACACTGATGTGATATAAACATATAAATTGTTATGGAATACGATTACGGGATCTGTTGGACTAATTTGAACTTATTATAATTCAATTGGATTGGTATTTTGTTTTTTAAGGTGTTTAAGTTTACTAAGAATATTCTCGTACACCGTTTTAGTAAGCAGGTGTTGTGTAAGTTGACTGTTGATATCAAACAAGTGGTTGAATGATTGCTCTTGTTTATTTTAGAGTGCTAATGTATAAGTATTATACCACAGGAAGTGCTTTGAATTCGGGATTCACTTTTAAAGTATATACGCGTGGGATAACTTATTTAATTGCTGTAATTTAGAGATTAGTTTCTGATTTGGTTTTTAGTGCAAACGGAAGTGACCCACATAACACATATGCTAAGATCGAGTTGTCTTCCCTTTATGCGGGGGTGCTTTCAATTTAGAAATTTAATAATTATTTCCAGTCTTCACCCTTCAGCCCTAGTCCTAATCTTTCGCTCTTTCTTCCTAGAATTTCTAGAATCACCAATTTAGTGCAATGATCAAGCGTCGTTTAGCTACTCGTACTGAAACTATGCAAAACCAATGTTTTACAGCTAATATTACTTTTATTGTGGCTGTCGTTCACAACTCGTAAGATGTTACTCCGAAAGTGACCGGAATACGGTCAATCTCTGGTGGGCGGACACCCTTGGGAATTGAAAAACGGTGTCCATTAGTAGACCTGTCCGCCTACGTATTCCAATAAGCGGACACTAAAGAAAATTAGGGCGAATGTCCGCTTACGAGAGTTAATTAGCGGGTGTTAATTACTTGTGGGTAGCCAAACAATATGAACTGAAACTGTGCGTTGATGTCAAATGTTAAAATCGTAAGAAAATCAAAGTGCTCTGTGAGCAAACTCGTGAATTGACACATGATTTTTTGGATTATGTTTAATGTTATCTGGTTTAGGGAATTTTGTGGTTGATTGTCATATCTAGAGTACGAGCAGTAGTTCAGTGTTCGCTAATGTAGCAAAGAAACAAAGTAACGTTGGGATAAGAAGGCATTACAATTGAAATGATCATGCTATCACATTTGACAAGGGTGGATGATGTCATGTGTTTTAAATGTATATCATTTTTGTTTCTGGTTCAAAAGAAAAGGTTGGCAGTAAATGTGGGTGAAAAGTGACATTTACTGTCTATCATTGTAAATATTAGAAAATCAAGGCACTACTGTCTTAATGAAAACATTAACGATTCCCTCTTTATCAAATGAGACAAACGGGAACGAGTTTTGAGTGATATAACTAAGCCAAGACTGCCACCGTCATTTTGGATCTCCGCCTGGGTAGATTTTAGTCACGTGCTAGGCAACGTATAATCAAGAACAATATATAATTTAATTTCAGGCCTATTTATCAATGTTGTGGTGTATAACTTTCGTATTTTAGTACGTAATATTTATTTTGAATCTTCAAATTGTCTTGAAACTTAAAAGAAAATTGTTCTTTAAAAATTCCCTGAAAACCGGTAGCTAAGATTGTTTGTTTAGGCGTTATTTGATTTTCGTGTTACCTTGTAATTTCGTCAGTCGCCGGCGTCTTCTGATGCTTCACACAGGAAAAACACACGATACGAAACGTAATGATCGATTTTGTCCTCAATCTCGCGCCATAACAAAAAAAGCTTTGGAACATATGTAAACTCCGAGCGCTTCGCAGTAAGTGATATTTTCAATGAATCTTCGGATTGTTTTCAAGTTCAAGGATTGTAAATTACAATTTTATGAAAAACGAAGGTTGTTCTGTTATTTCGGTGTGAATCCTTGCATGCCTGCCAGTCGCTGGCGCCGCTTGTTGAAACTAAAACGAAAATAAAAAAACTCTTTTAAGATTATCATCTGCTTCTTTTTCACCCCACCACTATTCTTAGCAACAAAGGTCGCCATTGCTTTTGTTTATTGCTCGCCAAAAACTATCAAATGCACTCAAAAGCCTAAAATCGAAAAAAAGTTTTACAGGAATCCACCAATCGAGCGAGCAAGCGAGCGAGTGCCATTCTCCACATTATATTTACAACTCGCTCTTGCGCATGCGCGCAATTCACGAGTTAAAAAGGAAAACTTTTCTATATTCAACAAAAATTTAACCGGGTCTTCTTGCTGCCGTCCATATATGCATTGTAACTTTAGTACTTTGTCCGCTTAAAAAAAGTCCAATGCTCTCTTTCAAAAGTGTCTGTGTCCGTTTACGAGAAAGCGGCTGCTTGCGGGAATGTGCAAAATTTGACTGGCAGGCAAAAGAAAGGGATTGGAAAGAATCCGTAAGCGGGAAGTTGACTGTACCGACTCGTTTCCAGTTAATGGCGGTGGGAGTTATTATTGGTAGGTCTTCTCCTCGCTCCGGAAATTTACTGTTTACTTTTATTGTAGATTGTTATTACGCAATTACCTTCAAACTGAATTTCTGTAAACAACTTTTGTTAAACTTAAATATCACCTGATAAAATTGTACCAAGTAATTTTTACATTGCCCACGCTAGTTTAATTTGGCCTGGTAATCCACAAAAGATAGTGAAAATTTAGAAATTATATCTTAGCACCAGCGCAGTTTGCTTATAACCTACTGTACAAGGGATAACGTGAGCAGTAACCAGCAGAACAGTTGAGCTGTCAAGTTAAGCCAAACAAGTTGCACTACATTCCACGCTCTTCAACTGAGTTTAGAGTGAAAAACTTATACTTAACGAAATGAATTTCAGAGACTTAAAGTGAATTGCCTACCTTGCTTTCTCCCAAGCTTTGCGCTTTCCTTTTCCTCCACGAACCCTCTCTCAGTTCTCGTGGATTTTCAGTGTCACTAAGACCGTTTTTCAGTAATTCTTCAAATCTAAAAGGAAAGGAAAACGATTGAACACGCTACAAAACGTTAATATGTACTCTTCCTGACAAAAGCAAATACACTTATTTTTTTATCCGGAATAGAGGGGTCTAAGAGAGCATGAGATCGAGATATCCAAAGCAAAATAGCTATAAAACACAACCAGTACAAGCCCACACCCTTGAACACCGCCTAAATTTGAGGAAAACACAGGGTCAGGAGATCCAGGATTCACTATTTAACTCGATATCACCAGAAAATCACTGCACCAACAAACTGGCGTTTGTGAAGAAAAGTTTCCCTTCTCTTAAAATACCGTTTACCAGGATGCAAACTTACGAGCTGTATAAAAAAATTTTTAGGAGCACCGAAGCGAGAAATCCGAAGGTCTGAGGTTCGGTTTCTCATGATGACTTAAATTTTCTCTATTCTTCGCTTGACGGAAGAAAAACAAATCTTTCTAGAATTCCACTTGACCAAGCCGCCCCCAATTAATTCTCAATTTGCTGCACAATTCTCTTTCTGTTATCAAAAATGGAAATGAAAGAAACGGTCTTACCGTCTAGACTGCATTTTAGCTTCGTCCACGGCAGACTTTAGCTGTTCATTCATTATCCTTATTTCAGCCTGGGAAGATGAACACGGAGATTCTTTTACCATGGAAGACGCACGTGGTACTGACGTGACAAGTGGTGGCGTTACCAACAATGGCGTGATCGTTGGAACCGATAAATAGGATGACGTGACCATCGGCGTAGACTGTACTGATGGCGTTGCGAGAGTACGAGACAAACCTAGGTATCAAAGAAAACGGCAAAGTGTATTAAAGAGACTGTTTCGCATAGCTTATGGAGTTTATTCCGGTTTGAAGGGCATCTAACCACTACTAGAGCTACTTTTTTGGGACGTATCATTTGTCCATCTTAAGGCAAGTACCATCAATGTGTCCAGTTTTACGACAGTTCACTGGTATTCATTCATACTTCTGTATGGAATGAAGCTCTGAGAGAGGAGAGTGTCTTGCCTAACAACACCGAACGAAGTCCCTTGCCAGGGTTCCAACCCAGATCTCTCCGTCCAGAGTCCATGGTTAACCAGAAAGGCATCGGGTCTCCCTGAGCGCAGGAGACTCGTATATCGTCAAATTCTCCCCGCTCATTGGGAGAAACAGAGGTCTCACGGAAAGCGCGCTGTACTCCGGAAAGAGAGTTGAGGGTAGGAATGGGCACCAGCAAAGTTTCAGGGAAAATAAACGGACAGCCGAGAGATAACCTGATATCCTATCCACTACTCCTGTTTACTTTTCGCTACTGAATCCACGAACATCGGCAGTAGCAAGGATCTATTAAGCATTTCGAACTTTACCTTTGCCATCGATCAAACAATACCAAATGGAGAAAAACCTTTTGAAAATCAGAACAGCAGGGTAACAAGGCTTAAAGCCAACCATTGATATTTTCTTCGAAAAACAAACGAAAAGAACCTTCCAGTTAAAAGAAGCAAGATCAAAGGAGTGTTAATCCAAAGAAATGTGCAATCCTCGCCTTCCAACCCCCTCCCCCAACAACTTTTTTCGAGCTGATAGCTAAGGCTTAGAGCCTCTTTGCTCTGAGAGGAGACGATTGCTAAAGCTATCTTCATATTGCCACTGTGAAATAACAAAAGTATAGCACGGAAGCAACTTATGAAACTATTACCTGTTATATCTTGAAACTGTTGTTCCATATCTAGAAATGACTCTTGTAACTTAGTGTCTTTGCTCTTCCTTGGTTTAGACGACTCTAGACTAAAAATTAACACAGGCTTTAGCTCAAATATCTGTATAACCCTCTCAATTTTCCTTTACATTTATCCCCAGTAACAATATGAGTGTGCGTAAAAGGCGAAGTTTTCGATCAAAAAGTAATTTGGAGTTTAAAATGTTACGATGAAGAAGACTAGAGAAACTTGGCTTGAAAAAATAAACTTTTCTTTCTCTATGAATTTCGCGGGTAGCTTGATGTGTCAACTGTCTCTAACGGCACCAGATCTCTCTTCAAATAAAATGCAAATGCAGCGTTGACTTCGAAGGAGAAACGTGAATAATTCGCAATCGGGGCTCAAGTTCTCAGACATCTTAGACTTTGCAATAATTGCTGACCTAATGTTCTTGTTTTATAGCGAACGGCCAGGAAATATACGAAGTTATTGATCAGCTCATGAAACCATTTGTTTCGCTTCGCTCTCACTACAATCGCCGTTTAAAAACTGTCGCCCTTTTGGTAGTAAACCTATTTTCTCGTGATCCCAGTGGAAGGGTATATAAACTAAGTTGGACGACTAAATGGCCCGAAAGTCTCTGGGAAAAAGATAAGCGCCTACTAAAATTACCTCTTTGCTTTCGCCGCTTCCTTCTTTGACAAATTTACCGACTGCATCCAAAGCGTTGGTGGATAAAATGCATCTAACTCCTCAGGTAAGAAATAAACGTCCTGCTCTTCTAAGCCTGGGTCCGAATGTAATGGGGTTAGACGAAAATTTACGCATGCCTCAAGCACGAGTGGCCAGGGAACCTGAGATGCAGATAGCCAGGGACTGGCCAGAGGTAAGTCGATACCGTTCAATGCTCGCTGAGTGCGAGCTAGAATCCACTTGACCCTAAAAGTAACATCAAAGAACTCAGAAACCTAGACAAAGGGATATGTGTTGGCTAAATCTTGGGTTTGATTCATAACTCTTTTCAGGGACCGCTTCAAATGTCCATTTCTCGTAATCACCTCCCTGTCCTTTCCTCGCTTTTTAACTCGTGAATTGCGCGCATACGCACGAGCGAGTTGCAGATATGATGTGGAGAATGGCACTCGCTCGCTCGCTCGATTGGTCGATTCCAGCGACTGGCAGGCATGCAAGGATTCACACTGAAATAACAGAACAACCTTCGTTTTTCATAAAATTGTAATTTACAATCCTTGAACTTGAAAACAATCCGAAGATTCATTGAAAATATCACCCACTGCGAAGCGCTCGGAGTTGACTGATGTTCCAAAGCTTTTTCTGTTATGGCGTGAGATTGAGGAAAAAATCGATCATTACGTTTCGTGTCGTATGTTTTTCCTGCGTGAAGCAACAAAAGATGCCGGCGACTGACGAAATTACAAGTTATCACGAAAATCAAATAACACCTAAACAAACAATCTTAGCTACCGATTTTCAGTGAATTTTTAAAGAAAAATTTTCTTTTAAGTTTCAAGACAATTTGAAGATTCAAATAAATATTACGTACTAAAATGCGAAAGTTATACACCACAAAATTGATAAATATGCCTGAAATGAAATTCTATCTTGTTCTTGATTATACGTTGCCTAGCACGTGACTAAAATCAACCCAGGCGGAGATCCAAAATGACGGTGGCAGTCTTGGCTTAGTTATATCACTCAAAACTCGTTCACGTTTGTCTCATTTGATAAAGAGGGAATCGTTAATGTTTTCACTAAGACATTATTGCCTTGGTTTTCTAATATTTACAATGATAGACAGTAAATTTCACTTTTCACCTACATTTACTGCCAACCTTTTCTTTTGAACCAGAAACAAAAATGATATACGTTTAAAACACATGACATCATCCACCCTTGTCAAACGTAATAGCATGATCATTTCAATTGTAATGCCTTCTTATCCCAACGTTACTTTGTTTCTTTGCTGCGAACACTGAACTACTGCTCGTACTCTAGATAAGACAATCAACCACAAAATTCCCTACACCAGATAAAATTAAACGTAATCCAAAAAAATCATGTGTCAATTCACGAGTTTGCTCACTGAGCTCTTTAATTTTGTTTTTGTTTTTCTGTTTTTGCTTGATGTCATGTGAGTAACTTTTATTTCACGCATCACCCCATCGTTCTTTACATTGAAAAATTCTCAGATTTCAGGGTGTTAAACGGATCCGCTTTGTAGCTCACGTAGGCACAAGAAAACCCAGACCTTCAAGACTACGAGTAGTCCCACCTTTTCGGCAGCTCAATGCTAATGCACGCGCGGAACTCTGGAAATGAGGCGCACTCCCTGATCTCCGCGCGCTAAAATCAATTTTTTCGGTTCGCCAATTTCCTTTTTGTTCGTTTGTTTTTTTACCCGCATGACGGACCTCACTGTAAAAGGGGGACTGCTCCGTGTCTACAGACCTTGGCATTCTGTGCTACTGGAACCTATTTGGGGAAGGGGCGGGGTGGGTGGGAGGGCTACTGGGTTCACATCAGGGCCCCATGGGCTCTTGGTTCACATGACACGAGCGTCCTTTATGTTATTACGATCTCTAGGGTTGAAACGGCGTGTGAGAATATACAGCGAGAAAAATTTTCAACATCGAGTTCGGTCGACTGGGAACAAGACTCAAGGTTCCCTTGGTTTCTTTGATAAGGGTGAAAAAGGAAGCTAGCGCCTATCACACTTACCTGTTTAACAGGCTGGCGGTGTCTGGTGATAACCTTCGAGCGTATTCTAGACACAAATTACTTTCAGACTCCCATGTGCCTGGAAAATAAACAGACTATGAATAAAGGCATGTGTATTGGAAAAGCTTTTTAAGGTAGCATGCCGGTGGACCTCTCCGTAAGGCTTTCTCGCTCGAAGAAGTCATTCACACCACAGTCTTCACGCGAGAGTGCGAGTTAGTCGTCGATGAAGCTTCAAAATGGATGTCTTTACCTGAACAAAAGAAATAAATTTCCAAAGATAAGGAGAATGCTTCCTACCATCAACAGCCGCTGGTTGAGGTGGAGGCAGTTTTAATGAAGTAATAAGTGTATTCATCCTTTGTAAGTTCTCGTAACTGTTCCATGTTGCATCTGGTACATCTGTTGGGTAGTAAGCAAAACACTAAATATATTTTTTCCTTTTTTTTTTCCCTTTTCTTTTCTATACTTCTTTTTTTTAAATTTCTTTGCAAGGAGGAGATTGTGTGAAACTTCTGTATTCTGTAAAGGTAACAAAGCAACTAAATGAGGCGTCATTATATAAACAGGAAATAGGACAAAGCCTTGCTGGGAAGGCTATTATTCGACTAGGTGTTGTGAAACCAAACCCAAAGTACTCCAGCCGGCCAATCAGAACAAAGAATACTAAACAGAAGGCACAGCAAGGACGTGAAGTCAGCTCAAAGCGCGAGAAAGCGCGAGTCACCAAATCCTGGATGTGTTTTGTTTTGTTGAGATGGCGAGAGTTTTCTAGACCTATCATAAAGCGCGGTTAAACGAAATCATTGTTAACCTTTTTTTTTTTTTTTTTTTTTTTTTTTTTTTTTTTTTTTCAGACAATAATTAGCAACTCTACCAAGGGACCTATAATTATTCATCCTCTGGGAGGGGGGCTCCGGGGAATTTTCGTCGGGTCGCATGGTTTTTCAGGTGAAAGGGAGGGGGTCAGTCATCACTAACAGAGTATAGAGGGGGAGGGGAAATTATTGAGAATTGACTGCCAATGAGGAAGGGGGAAAAAACAGATCGGGTAGGTTTTATTGCGTCAGAACCAAATTATCCGACGTCCCCCTTGGGCGATAAATAATGACCGATCTCTAAGACAAACATAAGACATAGAAGGTTGTAAGCCCTTAAAGTTACGGCTGTGGTTGAATAGAAATAATTCACCTTTACCATGCTCCCCGTTTTCTCTATCGCTAAATTCTTTCATCGGCCAGGACAGATTTTGTAAACTCCTCGAGGAAGCAACGGCTCCTAAATGTTCCAAAGCGCTGTTGTATAATTCAACAATAGCTTCTGGACACTGGAAAAGAAAAACGAAACGAGAAAATTGAATTCCAACGAATTCCCACCCCTCCCCTAACCCTGACCTATCATCAGTTAACTGTTATTGGGTTAGGGGAGGAGTAGCTGCGCAGTTCCTCCGATACAGACGTTGATCCCAGTCTGGGATGAGATTACCCTTACATACGAGTTAGAGGCTCATGTATTGAACACACGACAAGTTATTTTACAAGTACCTGTTGATCCAATTTGGCTTGTCTTCTGACAAACACATCCTCCGCCAGTGGTGTGGTGAAGAATCTCTGAAGACCTAGAAAATTACAAACTTATTTCACACGGATTGAACATGAAAGCTTATCTTTTTGGAATGCGCATCAAAACTCTAATGAAGAGATTAATAGGTTTCACGGCTCAAAGTTAGGATTGGTAAGAACATTGACAAATTCCTGATCTACATGTGTTTTCCCTCCAGTTCTGTTTTGAAAATTGCCGATATGTTTCACACCATGTTTCTCCTGCAACTTTACTAAGTCCTTAAACTGTATGTCCTTAAACCGATGGTGAGGGTTCGTTTCGAGAAAAGTTGTTATCCCCACTTAAATTTTTGTTTTTTCGGTGGCTCCAGGTCGTGGCGCAGTAATCAACTTTTCAACGACACCACTGACCGAACGAAGTCGTTTCGATAATCGAGGTCGTAGCTCTTTTGACGTCATTCACATAATGACGTCACTTTAGTAGACGAAATCGTTAACTGAGTTAAGTGATAAACGACGTCATGAAAAATTAACGACGTCATAAATAACAAACTAAACCAGAAGAAAAACAACACGCAAATGCGCAGGTAAGTGTTGCATAGACTAGGCGTGATAATTGATTTTCACACGCAAACTTTGACAAGGGGTTATTTCTTTCCCTTAACAAATTTCAATAACACTAGCATTTTTCATGTACACTGGCGCTACCTTGACAGATGCTAAAGCCACGGCACTCACCGTTCTCAATGAAGTTTCCTACGTTATCGGTCTTTGGGAGACAGCATCGAGCCATGTGACGTCCTAACCAAGTCACTGCCGAACAAAGCTGTAAATAGAAAAATTTTTAACTATTAGTCAATAGGTATTAAGATATATGCACCGCTGATTTTATTCAACAGGGGGTTTAAGGTTTCCCAGAACGACGGTATATGAGTTACGGGCTTAAAACCTCCCAGTTGTTTTAACTTTTCACTCCTAGGAGTGATCTTTCGCTGCATTCTACTAACAATTTATGTATGTTAATAAGTTGAAAAGTAACGAAAGATAGTAGGATTATTTCAATGGAGATAATGTTTTGATATACCTTCAAATTCTTACGCACCCAAAAAAAATTGTGGTCACTTGTTGAGAAAATTAACCCTAACATCCTCGGAATGAAAAAGATCACTACATGGTGAACTACGTCGCTAACAGCGCATTTCTATTAAAACCATTTAGTGACGACAACAGCCAGTCAGGGCTGAGGAAAATACCTCATAGAACCAATGAGAACTCAAAAAACAACCAAACTTCCTGAAGCGCGGGAAAACGCGTGTGATTAATTCGCGTTTGGTTCTTGTTTGGAATGCGATTGGTTGAGCAAAATGGCGCGAGTTTTCTGGACCAATCACAGAGCGAAGTAAAGCAAAACTAACGCAGTCCCGGATCACTTTCGACACAACTGAAAATTGCTTTTGAAGTTCATATAAGCCTCGAGCATATTACCACAATCAGCAATGAGATGAAAGTGCTCTCCATGAAATAACAGCTTAAATAATATGATAAATTTTGGGTTCAATCGTCACACTGACAAAGACAACAAAGATCAAATTTTTCATTACAAGAACTCTTTGAAGCTGATCACCAATGAAGTCAACCTATTAACTCCCAAGATCTCATTAGTAATTCTCCTTACTGTCTGTCATATAGTTCTTGTGATGTTAATTAGGAGAATTTAGTACTGGATCAACTAATAATCCCCGAATTAAGATTATTCTGTATTCTCATCCCTTATCTGCTTGATATTGTATTGATATCGTAAGGAGAAATTCTGTCTTGGTCACTCGTGGGAGTTAAAGGGTTAAAAACCTCTTACATACCTTTTGTGACAGATCATCTCGGTGGCCTGAGAGCGAGCTGACTGTAGATAAATTGCACTCTGATAGGAGACCATCTGTTTTTAGCTGTTGAACACCCAGACGGAATAACAAATCTGCTGGAACAAAAAGCATAAACACTTTGATAAGTGAGCCATATGATACTGATTTTTTATTAGCTTAACCTTTCTGCTTTACGTTTGTAACTGATCACGTATTTTTCATGCAAACAACTTAAAGAATTTCAAGGTCATCGCCAGCCTCCGTTTGGAACAAAGGTTTGCAACAATTCATGTAGCCGTAAAATGGTTTATGAGTGACCAGCACTGAACAGGAAGGCAAATGTCTGAAAAAAATATTTTAAATTAAAAAAAAAAAGCTGCTGTAAGCTGCTGGAACCAAGGATTTTAGATTCCGGCCCGCTGAGATGCTCCAGAAAAAAAAAGCATATGGCTATCGCTAATAATGTTTCACGTAGGCCCAGTAGCTTACCTTCGGTTGTCGAATTTCCTTCGTGGTCAATTACTATCACAGCGACTGGTAGTCTCGGTTCAGGTGGCTTGCTTTCAAGTATACGTCTCAGGCGAATGTGAGCTTCTCTTGAGGCCTAAGATGCGCGTTTACACATTACGAAAGCAACTGTCAAGATGTGTACCAACATCACAATGACTGGCCATGAAAATACATGATATTTCAGTATTATCAACTGAGTTGATAATACGAACAAGACCGAATGACAAAGGGCTCGAAACGTCAGCTTTGAAACTCTTTATGGTGACAATTTACGTCATCAACTCAGTTGCTGATACTAAATTACCCTGTTATACTCTCCCACCGACGCAGCACCACAGTTTCTTTAGAAACTTACCACCTTCATTCGTGAAAATAAAAGTCAAACAATCCAGTTGTAAGGATAAGCCACGTACATAGTTGAAACGAATTTCTTTCAAAGCCTTTTCGGGTACAGCTCCCTATAACACGATCGGCAGTCGCTTATGGAAAAAGTTATTGAAACCCCTGAGTTTATCCTGTCAATGCCATGAAGATGGAGAAGGAATTTCTCCCCTAGATATCATTACAACTTTAAACAGAAAGCTACGAAGAGGAAAGAGAAAAAGAGAAAAATATGAAGTGGGAGATTTTGTTGAATTAACCACCTCTTCAGGGATTTAGTTATAAAAAATATGAGAAGTTAATATTCAGATTTTGGGTACGAAAGAGTTTATGAGCAACGTGAAGAAGTGTTACGAACACTGGCATAACTCGAGCGGAAAAAGCACCTGATACTTTCAAGATCATTTTACCTCTGGACTGCGCTGAAGTTCTTTCCCGTCAACAACAAAGATGGCCGCGTGAGATCCGAAAAACTGCCGCGTTTCCATCGCTTCTCTTACTTCTGTGTTCGTCAAAACGCCATAACAGGCCTGCAAAGCATAGAAACTTGGATAAAACAACAAAAATTCTTACTGCCAAGGCATTTTACCTCACTCTAATCAGCTTATAACATACACACAAGTTCCCGATGGAACAAGATGGTATACAGAATTAAGCAAGCGAGTGTGGAAATTGAACAAATATTCCTCAAATGGAGTACAAACTCCCTTAGAACGCAAATATATTCTTGGCTATAACTTACTGAGTTCAGAGTTCCAAATGATAATTTTTATCAGCATCAAATTGTGTCAACTTAGTGAAAGAACATCTATTTTCCAAGTCTTCCCACTCTCTTCGATAAATATGTGATCGTATTTTATCTTTATCCAACACCTCAGTCGTCCTATCTGATGTTTATCGATTTTTCATTAACTGCTACGCTAGCGTTTCAAGGATCTGCCATCGCTCTAACTGTTTATCAAGAAAATCTCTAACGTAAGGCTAACGAATGATTAAAGCAGTTGCCTCTCTGACGGAAAACCGTTCGGGGCATGCATGGTCATGTATAATTTACATAACGGGGGATGGGGTAAGTGAAGGGAGGCGAGGTTACCATACTTAAGACTGGACTAACTAACCTGAAAATTAAATTCAAATTACGGCAAGAAAAGTGAAAAGTGAGTAGTTTTATTCTTCACTAACCTTGGTGCAAATTTTCATCACTCTGTTCTGTAAGGGAACGCCACGGACTTCCGCACCATAGAGTGCTAACAAATCAATCTAATGTAGGACGACACCAAAAAGAAAAAAGAAACAAATTAAAATCTGCTCTCTCGTCCAACACCAATAGGTCCATCCTGTCAAGACCGTACAGCAAAAGCTATCTTTCTAGAGCAGAACGAGATCTTAAACGCAAAAAACAGTGAATGGTGCAAACTATTCAGCCAAACAGACTCAATATGCAAACCAAACGTGACATGGTTCCCCGCACTTTACTACAGTCACGTGATTCTGTCTCCAGCACTAACTGGTCAGCCACATCTTCAGTATTATTCAAAGTAAAAACTGAATAAAGGAGCGAAAAAATTAACGACTAACTTTTCTCTTGAGTCCATGAGGAATGTTGTCACTGACTGGATAAAATCCTCTTTTCAACTTTTCCCTGATCATAGAACAAACGTCAAGGCCGCTCTCGTGATCACCGGTGAATTCAAGGCCATCGCGCATCTCTGGTAGCGATAGAATCAATTTCCAATAAACCGGGGAGCTGGGACATAATCTTTGAGCGACTGGCTGAGATCTCATCGAGTCTGCAAGCAATAATGGTACGTCCAGCGGACGGCATACTTGTTTTCTGTGATAAAAAGGAAGAAAATAGACTTACTTAAAAAGAAAGTTTATTCAAAGCTTGAACCATGACTGATGACCAAGGATTTCTTAGCTGACTAAAGCTAAGGATTCAAAGTGACTTGGCCAGAAAATATACCCTCATGTCGATTTTCTTTTCTTTGGTTCCCATCTTTAACATACAATACTGAGGGTTCTAAATCTAAGAGCAAACAACGTACTAATCACTCCATGAGTGAAATGGAGGAAGTTACATCAGACGCTGAGACACCTGAGACTATGGAATTGTGCTGAATTGTAATGAATACTTTCCCCAACTTAATGGTACTCCAATATTCGTTGCTCGTTCTATTGCAATTATTATCTGTTACAAAACATTCGGTGGCAGTAAATTGAATTTTAAGGTGGAAAGTTTTGCTGATCTTGAGAAAAGATTTTTTGTTGCTAACGTGCTCATCAGAACAACTACACTTCCTTTTTGGTTCGTTCGTTCGTCTGTTAATTTTTTTTTTACAACGACCGCCGTTGGCACGCATGCGCGCCATCGTCAATACCTGCTCTCCATATGTGCTTGTCTTTTCTCCAATACATTACGGATTTCACTTTCATGGGCATCAGTCCTGAAATATGTTCAATTGCAACTTTATTAGATGGAAGTTTAACTTTGTCAGTATAAACAGCCAGACTAGGTCTCAAAGCAGAGACGGTTCATTACTGAAAAAAGGCACATTAACCTTATAACAGCCATGGTGACGTCCTGTGTTCTGTGTCCCACAAGTTGCTGAAGTTGATTATCGATGCTGACCATGGGAGGTCCAGGAGGAAAAGTGTTAAGAAGTCCCTTTAAATGCACACTAGCGCGGAATGCTGTGTGCCACCTTGGAGAAGAAACAACATGTAAATGGCGTCTTTAACAAAATTCACCCAAATCATTGAATGACGTCAAATCCGTAAGTCATCAAGAGTGAGGTTAAAATTCAAAGGTTTGTTTGAACTGAAACCTTTCCCCACTATTTGAACCTGGCGATATCATAAATAACAAACTAGCCTCGTTTTCTCAGTCTGTTCTATTAGCTACGGAATCTCGATTATCCGATAAGATTTATGGCCCGCGCCTGCGCACTTCTTACCAAGGGGAGGAAACTCGGTCCGTATCTTATAGCACAGACCTCGAACCCCGTTAGTAAGAGGTATACTAACTTTTACCCGGAAAGGAAAAAACAATTGCTTGTTAGCGCCGAAAAACAAGGAATGGGGGAAACGTACGCTAAGTAACAGACGCCTCATTGTACGGGGTACGAGTGATTCAGACCTGCGCGTACCAGCGTGTCCGATATCTTTCTGCATCCTTTGCCATGCAGGCTAAGGGAAGGGTAAAGAAATTTATTGACCGGGCACTTGCCACAGCTGATGCATTTTGGCGACACTAGAGTCCTGAGAATCATTGGAAAAAAACAAAAATGTTCGCCTTTGTCCCACCCCCAGAGGTTTAAACAAAAGAGACTGACACGACATTGGGGACAGAACCAAACCTGACAAGGGAGGCACGGGTAACGCAGTGTTTCACGCAGTTAATTCTGTAACAGATCAGAATGCAGCGAGTAAGTGTGCACCTTTCGAAATATTTTGCAGTTCTACTCTTTATAACATAGCCGGCCAATAGCTGCAACTTAGCGTCTCTTTCTGCCTTTGCCTCCTGCAATACTTCCTCAGCAATTTCTTCTACTTCAGCCGAGATTTTCTCCTCTATCAAGGACTGGCAAATCTCTTGTGAAATTCTTTCTCTGGCCAATTTCAGAAGCTCCAAGCGCACTTCTCTGGAAGAAATAAACAAAGATATTAAGAATTTTGTGTTAATGAAAACTTTCATACGCATTTTACCAAAGTTCGATGCAAACGTCATATGAATGAATTTGAACTCTTCCAACAGCCTAGGAAAACAAGTAACAACCAATTAAAATCCCTACGAAAGGTCTCTACTTGAACCAGAGAGCGTTAGAACCTGGTTAGCACGCTAAACTCCGAGTCAAGAGAACTAGATTCAGGCCCTGGCCAGAGCACTGTGTCGTGATCTTGGGCAAGAGACTAAATTCTCCCCATGCCTCTCTTCATCCCGTCCACGAGAAAGGCACAGAGAGACCTGAAGAAATGTCGATTGGATAAGTTCCGCACAGATGAGACACAGGAATGCTAACCTCACCTATTACCTTCCACGTTTCCTTTTAAATCAACCTTCTGTTTTGTTTCGTTTTGTTTTTTTGGGTTCTATTTTAATGTTAGGGTTTTTTTATGTTGCGTTTTTCTTAATTTTTTTCTCTCGATAGTGGGTGATCGAGATTGTTATTCCTGATTAGCACTACCTTTCTTTTACCTTATGACCTCCTCCGCAATCCTCGTACTTTCAAGAGAAACAAACTCCTCTGTTAAGTCATCGTGAATAGTGCGTGACACACTCTCTCGAGTGACCGCGTTTTCCTGAGCAATTCTGGGGAGAGAAAAACATACTTCAGATCGATTGTAAACTTCTCTTCAACAAACCTTCGCTAGTTTCGTGTTTAATCGTAGTTGTCACGGACCTTTTTTTACTGAGTTCCTCGGTAAACACTGTATTTGCTGTTTCTCTTATGAACTCTGATATCGTCTCCTCGTAAATCGTATCTGTAATCTCCGTGGACAATTGAAGATCAACATGTACCTGTAAAAAAAAATAGTGATGAACTAAAAAACAGATGCAAAGCACCTTCAAATTTAGAAAAAAATTTATGGTACTAGTTCTGTATGAAAGAGAACTTATCACTCACAAGGGAAGGAAGCCCAAAGATATTACGCCTTTAAATATATGAAAATTTCACATATTTGCACTGCGGTGGAAAGATGAAATTAGTCAAATCAAAATTTTTTTCAGGTCCTATTTACAACTACTCGTTTCAGTAGTGTTCTTAGCTGCGAGGATCTCCTAATTTCATATTAGGCCTGTTAAGCAAGTTATCATATGACAAGCAAAAAGATCACCTTGTCAATAGCTTCCTTTGTAATGTCTGCACACATTTCGTTCATCACTTCCAAGAACAGTGTCTTGGTAAAATTTTGTATTTCCTGCAATAAACGAAAAACTTTTCAATATGGACTCAATCTGCCAACTGGTAAAGCGTAGATAACTCATGCTCTTTTAAGGCTGGTTTCCGCGCTTTACTATAATCTCGTTACGACCACTTCCACAGAGGTTTTAATGAAAGCCGGTTACCACTGGTCTACCGCTGCCTTTAACACATCTCACCGCCGTCTGTTGAGCGTGCGAGCAAGGTCACGTGTGCGGGTTTCGCCTTAAGATATCATCGGCAGCCACTTATGGAAAAACGATTTGTCAGAAATATTTCATTCACCCGAGCGAAGGACAAAACTTGCCTTTGTCACACGCTCGAGCAAAATGATCTGAAACCTTCACTACGATTTGCAATCAAACGGAGCTCTACATGTGAGCTACACGCCACAAAACTGTGGTCGCTTTTTATTTTTTTTTTTACAACTGCCCCGCTTAATGCTAAAGTTCAGGAATGTCTGACAAGTTCATTTTCCAGCGATCGTGTCGATAAAAACTGCTTGCGTTTTTCATCAGCTCACCTCTTCGGAGTAAGACACTGTGGGTTTAGCAGGTTCAATCTGAGTGGGCTAAAGACGACAGAAAAAAAGGATAAGTTAGTGAACTGAGACGCCACGCGCGTACCATTTGATGACGAAAAAAAACTTGTATCTTATTAAAGGTTTGTGTAGTGTGTAGTATTGGAGAGTATTTTTACGAGTTGCAACGTATTTTGACGAACCCGTAAGGGCGAGTCAAAATACAAACAAGGAGCAAAAAATACTCAGTGATACAACACAGCAAAGCGTGTAATAAGTTATTTATTATCCAACCGCTTTATTTCATGCGCACTTCTAATATGGCGGGAAAAGCGTAGCAGATAGGAAAGCGTTGTAGGCGCAGTCGACTGGTTAAACAGGTTTTTTCCTGTACAAAATAACCAACCGTACAACATCGCAGGATATTTGTATTCGATTCGCGCGTTACTTGAACTCTACTCAGTGCAGTTGGAAAATAGGAGGCCTTATCAGTAACCCGTGAACCATTTAAAAAATATTTATCTGAAAGTTATTGCTAAGAATTAATAAACCATTCTCTCTTTCATTCAAAAAAAGTTCTAGTTAACTTGTTCAACATTGTGTCTCGCTTACAACTAGTGTAGAATGCAGGTCCGTTAAGTAACCGATGTAGCGGCCGTCTTCACTGAAGCTGAGGCATGGTTGATGCTGAGGGGGGGTTGGAAGTGGTCCGTTGTAAACCACCTAAAGCAACAATAGAAATGAGTAGAGGAACGTAACCAAATTTCATTAAATGTCCAAGGAGGGTATTAGTGAAGATACAAATGAGTAAATGTGTACGGAATTTTTCAATATGAAAGTTTAATTTAAGCGGACGGACAACGGAGAACACAGAGTTAAAAACCATCATGGAAAACAAGAAAATCTTACACTAAAGCACATATGACACCATCAGGATCAGAGTCAAGTTAAGAAAACAAAGATTCCAGTTTGCCGTGGTTCTGTACAAAAATAGAACACTGATGACGTCAAAATGTGGTTAGAACATTTAAGTGGCACAGGAGGCGCAACCGAGTGCGTCACTGATGTTCTGACTACATTATGACGTTATCTGCGATCTAGTACTGTACAGACCCATGGCAACATGGAATTTATTTGCTTTTTAAAATAGAGCAAAAAAATTGATAATGGTCACGTAATCTGAGCTTCTGTCATCGATGGATCGTAAGAAAGCACCAATCAAAACGCGAGCGTGATTTAGCTTAATACATAAACAACTGTACACACCCTCGGCTCCTGCATGAACCTACCTCTCCAATGGAACAGCTTCGTTTGGATTCGATTAGTTTCCAGGCTCTCTTTGCGGGAAGCTTAGACTCGGGTTCAATGAAAGAAGAACGAGCAAAGTTTACGAACCCCTCTGTTACTGTTAGACCGTGGAACGTGCAAAACTCATCAGCCTGGAAGGAAAAAAAAGTCCTTATTATAGCCATTATTGAGTTTGACGTTCACAGAGAATTCATTTAGTCTACCTATTCTCTTACCGAAAAAGCAGAGAATCTACTTTGAAGAGACTAGTCATCAATCGCCCGGGGAAGAATGGAAAAGATTTTTTTTTAGGGAGGGGGGGTGTTGTCACATGGGTTTTAGAGGGAATGGAAAAGGATCAGTCGTCATCAACAGATTATAAAGAGGGGACTGTAGAAAACTGACTGCCAACTAACTTCCGATAAGGGGGGGATCATGTAAATACAACAGAGCCTTGAGGGGGGGAGGTTCAGGTAAAGGTTTTCGTGACATAACCAAAATCCTGTTTTGCAAGAACAGCATTTGTTACAGTTGATCGCTTACTGTGAAAAACTTGTGAATAGTAAAATTCAGACAATGAAATTTACTCGACGAGATTTAGAAACTGTTGAAATTATATCTCTTCTTTTCTTGTTTTGTTTTCTTTTAAGCTAGAGAGTCAAGCATTCGCGCTAACACTCAGAAAACATTTCCACTAAAATCATTTTAGTCTTTCCGCCTTTTTAATCATAATTCAATTCAAACCTTTATTCGCACCAACTTTATCCAAACAAACTAAATTTACTGCACTGAAATAACGACTGACTTGACTGCCTAAAATTAAGTCAAACTTCTCAGCCAACCAGCGACACATAACACAAGAACAAAAACAAACAAAGAAAACAGGAAGGCATACAGTCCATCAAACTGAAATAAAGAAAGAAACAAGGAAAGAAATAAAGAAAAAACCAAAGAAAGAACGCAAGAAAAAACGAAAAAAAGAACGCAAGAAAAATGAAAGAAAGAACGCAAGAAAAACGGAAGAAAGAACGCAAGAAAAACGAAAGAAAGAACGCAAGAAAAAACGAAAGAAAGAATGCAAGAAAAACGAAAGAAAGAACGCAAGAAAAAACGAAAGAAAGAACGAAAGAAAAAACGAAAGAAAGAATGCAAGAAAAAACGAAAGAAAGAACGCAAAAAAAGCGAAAGAAAGAACTGAAGGACGGAGGAAAGAAACACAAGAACAAAAACAAAAAACAAAAACAAAAACAAAAGGCATACAGTCAGTCAGACAGGAATAACGAAATAAAGAAAGAAAGAACGAGAGAACGAAACAACGAAAGAAAAAAGAAAGAAAAAAGAAAGAAAGAACGAAGGAAAGAAAGTACCAAAGGTAAAGATCTACACTCCAAAATTACGTTACCTCAGACTCATTTTCAAATGCCAAAATGTCTACAAGTTCCTTAAGCTGGAAAGATGTGGGTCTGTTTGGAGTACTCAGCGAGTGATTTAACGTCTGCACGGCTTTGCTGCGAACCTGAAAACAAATTGTAACACTCTGTTTATCCAGCGCGTGTAGGTGCATGGATGTGTGTCCATAAACGCTCATTCATTGGTTGAGGGACGCTACATTTGAGATTTAATAAGGATCAGAGATTGAACTGGTGATCGAAATAAATTCCCAAGTGATACCTACAGGTGCTGACTGCATAATGAGGAAGAAATTGAAATCCTGCAAGGAGTCTAACGTAGTGTAAGGAAACATGTCAGGGAAAGAGTAGACCATTTGTGAAATCGTACCTGAGTGAAGTATCGATGAAGTAGGCAAGCACTGAGATAGCTAGCGTTTCTATGAAAAAAGACAAAAGCACTCGTACATAAAAGCTTAAACGAGACCCAATAAGCCTCTTGTTTTAAGGGAATTCCTAGCTGTCTTTGATAAATTATGCGTGAATGTGCACATGAAAAAGAGGAAGTTTGAAAGAAACATTTCTCTAAAGTATTACCGCGTGTCCTGAAATGCCTAAACAAAACATGCAAGCTGCAGAGGTCTTTTTGAGCATTCGATCTCAGTTTGCATCTCGCATCTTCAAGAGTCTGGGGGCGATGATGAAATTCACGGATGTTTGAGATAAGGTAGTTGGTGAATCACACTCCCTTCCTTCAGTGCCAGAAAACATGCAAGAAGGTGAGTGATCACTTTAGGATATGACGTAATCGTCGAAAAATGATAGCACGCGCATTCGAATAAGCACCTTAGTGTGCGTAAGAAAAGGTTTGGAAAATCGTGGTCCATTTCCTTTAGAACAAATCATTGAGAGAAAAATGTTTCTCCGATATATCCAAGTGAATAGAACTGTAAACAAAGGATTAACGTACCGGAGAAGACGGAAGAATCTCACAAAGTTGTTACTATTGAGAGCATGGAAAACAGCCATGGCAAATCCCACTTCAGGTGACTGTTGAATCTCATCTCGAAATGTCATCACTTCCCTAAAGGAGAGAAAATATCAATACGTTTACTAATGAACCATGCATAAAATATCCGTTAGTTCTTGGGAAAATTTCATAGAGTTTGAGGTTGCGCACTGCTTTGCACCAAAATGTGTCGCACATTTTGTTGCAAAGTTATATAATATAATCTGTTGCGTTGTATCGCGCTGCATCAAAGTGCGCAACATTGTGTTGCACTAGACTGTCTCGTTACAATGCGTTACTCTATTACACCGTGTTGCATTGCTCTGTGTTGTGATACCCACACGGTTTACAAGTACACACGAGGCCGCACGAAATCGAGGCTATAACAAAGATTTAACATTGGCTTATGATACTCAACTCTCGCCATAAAAACTCTACAATTATCAACTTACCTAAGAATGTCTCCTCCATTCAAATTCAGCAAAATGTCATAAGCTCTAAACTCTGCTTCTTGCGGGCATGTTACTCCCTTAAGCAAAATAGCAGAAGAAGAAAAGTCATTCCCATCATGCACCGATTTGGTTGCGGAAAAATGACATTGGAAAAACATCGAAAAGATGCACACAGCTTTTCGCGAGAATTAGTTTAAACCACTTCTCTATCATATTCCAATCTTGTCCCAATTATTCACAGCTAAAAATCGTATTGATCTGGAGAGCTTGATGTAGTTACACTCAAAAATAATCTTCTCGCTTGAAAAAATTACAGCACATCTCAGCTAAAAACAGAATTACTTTGGTAATGTAATGTAAGTTGTATGCAAACCAACAACACCGTCAATTGTACAATTTTTCAAGACCGTCCCTCTACAATGTGCGGATTCATTCCTCGTGTTTAAGTTCAGCAGCAAAATGTTTCCTGTACCTTGTCTTTGAGGAGATCTCCGTAAAACTGTTTTAAAGTTTGCAGGCATTTGGTTAAATTCTCAGTATTGATTTTTGCATCAAAGGAATTCATGTCTGCCTCACACAGAAAGTGGGCGCAAAATATATGAAACCTGTAAAAATAAACACAAACAACCATACACCATTTAGAAAAATAAAGGGGGCAAGTTTCTAAAGGAACTGTGGTGCTGCGTCGGTTGGAGAGTATTACAGGGCAATTTAGTATTGGCAACTGACGATAACGTAAATTGGCCACCGTAAAGAGTTTAAAAGCTGACGTTTCGAGCGTTAGCCCAATTTATTTTATTATCTCAGTTGATAATACCAAATTACCATTTAGGAAAAGAAAAACTCGTTAGCAAACTTGAATGAAATCCAATCGGATGGTTAGTCAGAAGTTGTAACGATATCAATCATGTCTCAAGCCTATACGTTTTTCCTATCCGAGAAAAACCCCGGCAAGTACTGATTGGACACGGGTGGCCTGAATGGAGAAGCCTGGGTTCAAAACCTGGCCTGGCCCCTCAACCGAATAAGTGCAAAATCAAGACCAAATACAACTTGGTTATCCACGTTTTCTCGCACTTGAGGTAGCTTAACTGTCGGAATGTTGAGTTCTCATTTTCCTTTAATTGGCCGATGACATAACTTTGGTTTTCTCTTCGAGAAACTCACTAAAATGCGTTCTAAAATCGCGTGAGAGGGAGGAGAGCCACGAAATCTACCAAATAAAACAAAAGACCAAAAGAACTAATGTCCCCCAGTTAAGCAAACATTTAAAGAAATTTAAACGTCAAATGTCCACATCTAGGAGGCGCGGTATTCATAAACAAACGTTTAAGTACCTGGCTGTTTTCTCGACAAGATCGACACAATCAGGGTCACATAAGTGCTGTTGGGTAATATCCTACAACAAAAAGAATGAAAATGAACGGTACAATTTTACAACAACCACCATGCTTGCTAAACTTTTGATAATTCAATCACATCAGTCTTTAGATTGCAACAGGAAAAGCTAAAATAATCGGATTTTTTTAAAATTCTTCTATCATCCTGAAGATGACAAAGAATGTCCACAGTAAAGTTGAATATCATAGGCGGTAAATTAGTAGTGAACGTTTCGTTACACATGTTGGCAAAGAGATTAGAAGCACGATGCACATAACAGCCCTCATTTGGCGCTAAATTATCCTCGTATTGTACATGTGAATTCGTCCTTGATCCTAATCTGTTCGTCTTTGAAATCTGTTCACTTCAGAGAACCGACAGCACGCGCACACAGAAATATCAGAGCAAAAACTCACTCTACATGAAGATTATGTTCATTCAGTTAAGACTTGACTCAACCTTATATCGAAATAAGGATGAACATGCAAAGTTTATAAAACAGTCAAAAAGCTACATGTAAACCTGCTGTCTATTGCGTCACGAGCCAAGTAATAATTCTATTCCGCTCCCCAAACTTCGCGCATGCATCCAAAACAACGCGCGTGCACCCAAAACTACGCGCGTGCATCCCAAACTACGCGCGTGCATCCAAAACTTTGCACGTGCATCCAAAACTTCGCGCGTGCATCCAAAACTACGCGCGTGCATTCAAAACTTCACGTGCATCCAAAATTACGCGCGTGCATCCAAAACTACGCGCGTGCATCCAAAACTACGCACGTGCATCCTAACTTCGCACGTGCATCCAAGACTACGTGCGTGCATCCAAAACTTCGCGCGTGCATCCAAAACTTCCCGCGTGCATGCAAGACTGCGATAGACTTACACCCTCACAAAGAATACCTTATCATCACTTTGTATTTTACATATATATGTATTTTTAATAATTGTTAGCCCGCTTGTACGCTCGCGTGATTGTTCAGACTGTTACGTTGTCATTTTTTTTTCAGTTTTTATCATCTCCATGCCCTCCAGAGTGATAGTAATAGCAATTCCTTTCACGTTCTCGGGCGTAGATATGTTTTTTGCCATCCAGAGAGTTATTTTACCAACTGGGGCTTAAATGACTTTGAGTCGCGCCTAAAAACATACTTAAGCCCGTGATCATAAATTCTATCGTTTTAATACAGGCCTGGAGTGGCTCCTTTGTACAGTTAGTGACCTGTACATACCTTCCTGATTCCCCTGGTTCTGTTCCATAGAAAATCAAACCACTCTCCTTCCCTTCCTTCACACAGATCCATGATGTTTGTGGCCAGATAATCCATGGTCATCCTGAGGACTGGTACAGGGCGGAGCTCATGGGGCAATGGCTCTTCCTAAACACGAGGAAACGGTTATGTAAACGAGGACTTACTTCCATGCCAGCCGCGGTTGTGGAATGATGTACAGTTACCGCTAAAATCTAAGTTGACAGTCCCTCGATTCTCGATCCTTGAATCTTCGCGAATGAGTCCGTTCCTCGAGAAATTATTTGATTTGAGTTTCTAGAGGCTCGATTCTCGAAAGAGGATATTAACTTAAATTTCAGCAGTACAGTACTTCAATAAAATTTATTTTTCATGCGAGTCGTTTAAGGCAAAAAATAATGTGTTTCATTTTTAGCTTCAAAACCTCTTGACAATGCTAAAAAAACAAAATCAAGATGTAGATCATTAATTGGCTGGACCTTGTAAAAAAAAAAAAAAAACCGACCACCCCCCAAAAAAAGGTGAATAATTATGTCATCACAAATTAAAAGGAAATGGAATGCACTGACGGCTAGTAATTTCACCGTGCCCAACACTTAACTCTTTAACTCCCAAGATCTGATTTTTAACTCTTCCCTCTAGCTGCTAAACATTTCCTTGAAAATTGGTTAGGAGAATTTGGCGTTCAATAATCAAGGTTAATACCTTGTGCCTGATGAGTTTGAGTATTCTCATTACCTGTGTGCTGAATAATGCATGGGTATTACATGGAGAAGTTACTTGTTAATCACTTCTGTGAGTTTAAGGGTGAATAACGCAGCAAGCAAGTAATCAATTATTGTGAGTAAGTGATACTTCTCTACAGAGTGCATTTGCATAACAAACAGATGCACGAAAAAGAGGAATGAAAGATACCCTTTACCTTATCAGCGGCAGATCTGTCATATTCCTTGACTGCACGGGTGTGATTGACTTGAGGATTTTCATCCTTTGGGGTGCAACAAGGTTGATAGTGACAAGCAATTAGTCAGTCACAAAGACAAGTTTCCATTGGTGACACATGCAGGCATACGCAGAAAAAAAACGAAATTATGAGCATCGTAAAACTTGTGATCTACTGATGAGTTGGCCTGCGGAGCAAGCGTAATTTTGGCGAGCGAGTGCTCAGTATTTTCTTAACAAAAATTATGGCCGCCATCTTTGATTTTAATGGCAGTGGAAGGCTGGGAGGAGAAGAAATTTGTACCAAGAGAGCGGTTGACAGTCAAAAATAAGGAGAGGGGTGGAGATGGGGCCGGGGGGAGGGGGAAGATTTAGAGTGTCTCCTAAGCTATGGCAGTCAGCTGTGAGAGCTTCATGGTTCTGTAGTAAGAACACAACCTACATGAAAATTCTTCCACACAAACCTACATGTTTGCCAGACAGGATGTTTTGTTTTTTCTTTACTTAACAATTTGACCCCAAAGAGTGACAAGCATCTAATTTCTCCCAATGGCATCACCCCTAAATCAAAGAGTATGGTCATGGGAATAAAGGAAATGATCACAAGCTCAAAATTCTTGTGATTGTTAGGCAAATTCTCCTTGCAAGTCCCATAAGAAATGTTTAGAGAACAGTATAGAGAATTTGGGTTAATGATCGAGCCATCACTGAACAAATATTAAACCTGCAACAATCATTTGTGGCTTCTTAAACAATACTAGGAAAATCTCTCTGAAACCTTTTTTTTCTCAGTAAAAATCTTTACAACTCTCACAAGTAAAAAAATTATTTAAAATTGGTGAATCATCTTCTCTTTAATACAGAAAGATCTGAAATAACTGATTTAAGGATAACTATTCAACACATTTTAATTAGAAACATTTTTTAAATAAATTATGTAGAAAGTCAGTTATTTATCCTTTCCAAAAGATATTTTAAACCCCTTTTTAAACCAACATCAGTATTCAAATTCTCTATGCTGTCCTCTATACATTTCCTAAGGCGCTAAAAGGAGAATTTGTCTAACAATCAAGAGCTTCTTTAGTTGGTGATCATTTCCTTGATTCTCATGACATTACAGGGCGTGAAATTGCGCCTAATAAAGGCGCCAATGCGACTAAATTTTTCACTTTGGCGACCAAATCCTGAAAGTTAGTCGCCAAATTGGCGACTACAACGTTTCATCATAACCTTACTACGAGATATAGTGAATTAAATAAATTTGCAAAGATAAATCCGCGGCAAACTTCCTCGTTAAGTTTGTTTCCAAAACATAGCACGTGCATCTCGATCGATAACTAGACGCCATCTTGGATTTAGACGAGCCTGAACGTTGTATATCATACATCCTAGTGTCCACTTTGTAGCACGTTAAAGATCTTTTCCCTAACTTAATTTTGGAGGGTCTATCTAGAACGCTGACAGCGTAAAGAAAGATTTTGTTTGTCTTTGAAAATGGCGACCAACTTTTTTTGAATTGGCTACCACTTTGAAGAATTTAGGAGCCAAGTGGCTATCAGAAAAAAAAGTTAATTTCACGCCCTGCATTAATGTTTGATTCAGAGGATGATATTATAAGGAGAAATTACATGTTAGTCCCTTTTAGGAGTCAAAAGGTCAAGGTGGTTTAAAGAGATATTTTTAAACTATCTTTGTAAACAACAAACATTAACCTAATACAGTCAAACCTGTATTAAGTGGTCACCCACAGGGGTGACAGGGTGACTGCTCATTACAAGTCCTACAGAACAGGGGTGATACATAAAATGATACAAATGCCATTTCACGCCATAATTGACCGCTTAACGTACAAAAACTAATGTACATTAACTACTGGAGAGAAAAATGGATTACATTTCACTTATGAAAGATTATTGATATTCTTAGGTGTATTTAAGTAGTTCCACTTTAACCTTTTATACCTGAAAATCAGTATGCATATTCTCCATACTGCTCTTTATACATTTCCTAGGGTGCTGACAAGGAGAATTTGTTTACCAATCAAGAGCTTGTTTTGTTGGTGATCATTTCCTTTATTCTCATGACCTTAATGTGTGGTTCAGGGATGATATTGTGGGGAGAAATTGGGTGCTAGTCACTTTTAGGATTCAAAAGGTTAAGTGACTAATCAATAGATGAGGAAGAGAATAGAAACAGGCTGTTGAGGCTTAGTCAAAGGTGACCACCACTGCATAATGGGGGGGATGGCTTAACAGTGGTGAAAATAACAGTGATTATGGGGAAACAAATTTGGGACTTTGAGGACTGATGATGACAGGATGACTGCTTAATTCGTTGCTGCTTAATACAGGTCCAACTGCATTTGTGGTACAGCTTCTTTGGAAATGACAAACATTAACCAATTACAGTGAAGATGTACTTACAAAGCTGCCTGTCCCAGACACAACCTCAAACACACTCAGTCTTCTTTGATGCTCTCGCATGTACCTTTCCTATAGCATACAAAATTAACTGTCAGGTTGAAAAGAACCCATACAAACAACAAACATTACATTTTTCTTAACCCTTTAACTCCCATTAATGACCAAGACAGAATTTCTCCTTACAATATCAATTCAATATCAAGAAGAAAAGTGATGAGAATAAAGAAAAATATCAATTTGGGGATAATTAGTTGATCCAATACTAAATTCTGTGAACTAACATTATAAGAATCGTGTAGTTGACAGTAAGGAGAATTACAAATTGGATCTGAGAGTTAAAGGGTTAACACAATATATGTGGCTCAGGCTCAAGCTTTGTATATTTGAGAGCAGAGTACAGTATACTAAAGGTTTACCTTCTCAGGACACATGTCTTTGCAAGTTCCAATGACAGCTTTAGCAGAACTTATGTCAGATGACCTTTCGAACACTGAGAGATAAATTGTTGAAGGGAAATTAAACAAACTTAGCTGATATTGATGATGAAGTTGATTGACAGATTGATTGATTGACAGATTGCTTGATTGATCAATCAGTTAATTGATTACAGTGTAGATATCACAATGATTAACTGACTGACTGAATTAAGAAACAACTGACTTACTACATTGTAACTGATTGACTGACTAACCAACCGACTGTCTGACTTTCTAAACAACTAACAAACAGCTGTTTGACCAACTGACTGACAGACTGAGTGACAGACTGACTAAACAGCTAACTAACTGACTGCCTCATTGATTGAATGCCTGATCTTGGCTTTACACTGTTCACAAATCAGACACAATTATGCCATTTAACATTCCCATTAGACTGTTACATGTCAAGTCAAAGACAATAAAGGCAGCTTTTACTGCTCATACCTAATCTTAGTTTTTTGTCAATTCCCTCCAAAACTTGAAGTTTATCCCCAGCACTTTCACTTGCTGGAACTGACTTCAAATCTGTGAAACATCAAGCTCTTGATTAATCAGAAGAAGTTCAGTGTGCTGTAACAATATTTTTCATACTTATCTGTTTAACTCAGGAAATCTTGAACAGCACAAATATTAAAGGAGAGAACAAAAGATTTTTTTGTCCTGTCACAACCATGGGACAAAGAAAAAATTGTGAGTCCCTATAAGGATTGGTACCTCACACCATGCTCCCATACTCTACCACTGAGCCACAGAGACTCCACAGTGAGCGAAGTCTATTACGAAGTTCATATGACATGCATCCTGCATACTGCTAGGATCCACAATGTCAATAGCGTAATGTTTGTAGAAATAAGCACAAATATTCGTGGACAACCTAATCTGACATGAGAGACCCCAATCACAACAGCAACAGGAAACAGTAGTTAGGGGTTTGTATGCCTGCATTGAATTTCTTTGTGATTGGTCAATAAGAAATTGACAAGACAGCTTGTCAATATAACCTGATCATCTTTATCTGAGTCTTGCAGTACTATAAATTGCATGTAGACATACAGAGTTGATACAGTTTCACTTTAGATACTACATACATTCTTGAATATCCTTCAAAGCTTGTGACATCTTTATCCTCTGCTGGGTTTGTTTTTCTGAAGGTGCAGTCTGGGTGATAGAAATAACAGATTCACTACTCCCGGCCACAGTTCATCAATCATGTTGACTCCTCATGTACACAAAAAACATTACTACTACAAATGACAGCTACTGTAAGCACCCAAACTTGTTTACCACACAATACCTGAGCAGAAATCTTCTTTATTTTCTCTGGACTGGAAGGCCGCTCACTCTCTGTTAATTAATAACATTTACAGATATATTATATCTCATCAATATCTTGTAATAAAATCATTAACAATGTCATTATTAAAAACATACCTATTTATTAGCTTTACACTATGTACATTTTTTTAAAAATGTGTAAGCAATGTCCACAAATCCACACATTATATTAGAGCCATGCTTCATATAACTTTTTCTGAGGAACTGGAACACTACAGATAGTGGCTGGTTCTAAACCTACTTTTCACCCTAAAAAATATTCATATTCTGTCACTGATCACAATTCAGAAAGAAGCCAGAGCAAAATGGTCTAACAGCCAGCAGATTTCTACCCCCTACAAGTTCCTGATGACAACCAGGGCTCTATCATTCTCCTATAACAGTTACCTAGAGAAATTTCACACATT